TTCTTGCTTCGCATGACCTTGATGATATTATTCCAGTCAATGATTCGATTGAGGTGGTCCAAGGTGAGTTGGTGTCAAATCAAGTTGTGTTTTGTGCTCATGATGATGTTTCCCCTTTTCCCTAATGTTGTGAGGCATGAGATTATGCCTATTTTAGCTAAGGAACCAGGTAATGTTGATTTTCATAGTTTTGGTGATTTTTTATCTCCTTTTGTGATTAATCAACAGGTGGCGGGTTGGATTTTGGTTGGATCTAATGATGTCGGGTTTGGTGCTACGACCATGTCTCGTGTTGCGGTGGAGGTTGAAAATGAGGTGGAATGGGTTGTTGGTCAAGCCGATGTTTGTGTTGTTTCCTCTGAGGATGTGGTTACTCCTGGCTCTATTGCTGGGCTGATTTCTTCTACTCTTGTGGTGACTGGTGGTGGTTCTATTTCTCCTGCTTCTATTGGATCTTTGGGAAATGAGGTTCTAGTTGAGGTGCCTATTGTTATTATGTCCCATAACATTTTGAATGCTTGTTTTGTTTCTAATTTGGGAGTACTTGTATTGGGCATTCGGGTTGGCTTGAAGGGTTTCCCTCATCGCCTGGTGAGGTGAGTGATGATGTTGGTGATGTGCAGGATGATTCTTGTCAAGACTTGTATGGTTTAGATGTTTGTCAAGTTGTTGAGAAAGCTTTCTCGAGTGGCAGCAAACATCGTCGAAGGAAATCTAGAAAGTGGCTCTGCTATTTTGTTGAGTGGGTTTATCTTCACTTAATGGTATTTTGCTGATTGGTTGCTATTTGGCTGGTTATTTGTTGGGTTGGGTGTTAAGTCTAGGGGAGATGATTCTCTCATTCCTCTTTTTTTTTTTTTTTTTTTTTTTGCAGGCTATTCCCCTCCTTACCTGGATTGGTTCCGGGTCGTTTGATTGCTTCTGGTAGCCATTTTTCGGTTGATGAATTGGATACTTACTGATGTTGGTGGCTTTCTTTTTTGGATTTTATTGTATTTCCTTTTTGTTTTGCTTTTCTTTTCCAGTAATATATATGATCTCAAGCTCTCAGGTTTATTTCAAATGTTGTTCTTTTAGCGAGTTTCTGATCCTTTAAGAATGTGTACTTTTTATCAGTATTAACGTGTAGGCTCACATGATAAATTTTCTCCAAAAAAAATGAAACTTAAATCATAATACTCGATATGGAACCCCCAAACAACATCATTGCACTCTGCAATCATGCAACCAACAAATATCCATCAATGTTGAGCTTCTAATGCTAACAATTTCTTTTTTACTAACACTAGATATCCATCCACCAACATTGCTTGACTTCCAATCACTCTTCACCAACATATTCATTGCTATAGTTCATTATTTATCAATATCATCACCTCATACTATTAATGATTAGGAGATCAATTGACTTAAAATGTAGAGATCAGCAAGGTGATGCGATGTTTAGAAGAGAACCTCCTTAAAAAATATTTAATGTTGCTGAGCAGTCTGAAAAAAGTTTTCTAAAAATAAAGCAGAAAAAATTTTCTAAAATAAATGAAAAATAAAAAAAAAACTTGTTATTTTACATAATCATTATATAACACCTATTATTTATTTCATATATTTCATGGGATTATTTTCTTGTTATATTCAACGCTAGGAAAATATATTGAGAATTAATTTTATGATGTAAGCAATTTTCAAATTCAAAATAAAAAAACTAAATCTCAAAAAGATAGCTCCAAACATATATAACAATCAAATTCACTATTTTTAAGAGAAAAATACATCATAACTTTGGAGTTCATTTACTAATCTATTATTAAATATAATTTTGAAATTATTATTATTATTCCAGTAACTAGATGACCACCTTTATGTTAATAGGCTCAGTAGACATCTATCAACCGACATTGCCTACCAATAACTTAGACCATCTCTCTCCTCAATGCCCATCATTATCATTTAGGCTTCGTTTGGGACATCTTTTTTGTTGCTTCTTAAAGCAAATTTTTAATTCAAAAATTTTAATTTTTGTACTAAAAAGTTGATTTAATAAGCAACAAAAAAGCTGTCTCAAACAAAACCTTAATTACTAGGGTTTCTGCTCCTAGCTGTCGTCTCGGTAGGGTATCTTTCCTTAATCCCTTTTTTTTCTTGCAATTTTCTTATGTATGGCTGCATATCATTTAAGGGATCCTGGGTTTTTGGATGGAAAGCCAAAATCTAGGTCGTTTAGAGTTGTTTTGTCTGGTGAATCAGTTTCTCCTGACTTTCCTCCGCTCAAAGTCTCTTCACACCATGATTTGCATGCTTTATTGATTTCAAAGGAGGAAATGTTATCACATGTTGCGCCTTTTGAGTTTACCTTAGTCGGGAAGTTCCCAGGCCAGCGCCCACCTCTTGATACAAATCGCAAATTTTTCTTCAACCTAAAGCTTTGTGGTGCATTTTCGGTTACAGTTTTGAACCCTAAAAATGTGTTGATTAAACTTGTGAATGATTTAAATTATTGCAGGATTTTTTTCTCACTGCTCCTATTTCATTAGCAATTGATGCATGAGATTTTTTAATTAGACTCCCCATTTTGATATTAATGTGAATCTCATATAGTTCCCACTTGGATTTCTTTTCCAAGTTTACACTCGCATCTTTTTTCTCCATGCATTCTTCATGGATTGGGATCTCTATTTGGAAGACCTTTGAAAACTGATAATGCAACAATTATTAGTTATTAACCATCTGTTGCTCACAAACTTATGGAATTAGATGTTACTAACATATGTACTTCTCAAGTTTGGCTTAGTTCTAAGTTTATGGGATACATTTAATTAGCTGAAATGGAAGAGTTTCCTTTGTATTGCTTTCATTGTAAAACCTTGGGTAATTTGAAGGATGGTTATCCGATTTTATTTCCAAATTTGAATATTGCTCCTCGTGTTAAGGAGGGGGTTGTGGCCGATATTCTTGCTTCGCATGACCTTGATGATATTATTCCAGTCAATGATTCGATTGAAGTGGTCCAAGGTGAGTTAGTGTCAAATCAAGTTGTGATTTGTGCTCATGATGATGTTTCTCATTTTGCCTAATGTTGTGAGGCATGAGATTATGCCTATTTTAGCTAAGGAACCATGTAATGTTGATTGTCATAGTTCTGGTGATTTTTTATCTCCTTTTGTGATTAATCAGCAGGTGGCGGGTTGGCTTTTGGTTGGATCTAATGATGCCGGGTTTGGTGCTATTGTCATGTCTCGTGTTGCGGTGGAGGTTGAAAATGAGGTGGAATGGGTTGCTTGTCAAGCCGAAGTTTGTGTTTTTTCCTCTGAGGATGTGGTTACTCCTGGCCCTGTTGCTAAGCTGGTTTCTTCTACTCTTCTGATGTGGTTACCATGATATTTCTCCAAAAAAAAAATGAAACCTTAATCACTAATACTCGATATGGACGCCCCCAAACCAACATCACTTGACATAAGCAATCATGCAGCCAACAAATATCCATCAATGTTGAGCTTCTAATGCTAACAATTCTTTTTACTAACACTAAATATCCATCCACCAACATATTGCTCGACTTCCAATTACTCTTCACCAATATATTCATTGCTATAGTTCATTATTTATCAATATCATGACCTCATACTATTACTGGTTAGGAGATCAATTGACTTAAAATGTAGAGATCAGCAAGGTGATGCGATGTTTAGAAGAGAACCTCCTTGAAGAATATTTAATGTTGCTAAGCAGTCTGAAAAAATTTTCTAAAATAAATGAAAAATAAAAAAAAAACTTTTTATTTTACATAATCATTATATAACACCTATTATTTATTTCATATATTCCATGGGATTATTTTCTTGTTATATTCAAAGCTAGGAAAATATATTGAGAATTAATTTTATAATGTAAGCAATTTTCAAATTCAAAATAAAATAAAATAAATAAACTAAATCTCAAAAACATAACTCCAAACATATATAACAATCAAATTCAATATTTTTAAGAGAAAAATACATCATAACTTTGGAGTTCATTTACTAATTTACTATTAAATCTTCATTTCAAGAGGACGCATATACATAATAGAAAGACACGTGGAGCCATGATTTGATGAACAAACAAAAATAATAAGTATATATATAATTGAGTTAGATAAAAGAATTGTAAATTTCTAGGCAATTTTGCTTAGTTGTTCTTGTAGTTCGTCGTTTTTTATGATGTTTATATGAACCTATTGTGAATGGTCATGTTTTTTAGTAATTGTGATGTTTTGAACATCATGGCATGATCCATTTCACGATCGGACAACATTTGGTGATTCAATGATGTCATATCTGAAGACCAACATTCACGTTGTTGTTTGATAGATTTGAGCGTGACTACTTTTATTTTATAAATTTGATTTCTTTGATACTTTAGTGTAATTAGTTTTGAAAATAGACGACAGTTGGAGAGATTATTATGTGCGGAGTCCGGACGGGAGAACCGTCCGGATTTTGACTGCGCTTTTATTATGAACACTCACAGAATCCGGATGAAGCTCCGATCCAAACGTCGCACGTAATAATCTCTCAGACAGTTGAGTGGTTTCAACCATATTCGATGTATTTCAAACTCATTATGTGTGATATCACATGAGTTTTTTTTTTTTTCCAACCATAAAATATACATAGAGGTCAACAATATTCACTTATGAGGCTCTTATATATTATCTATGTTGTAATATTTCTCTTCATGAATAAATTAGTTTTATGTATCAAATCTTTTTTTTTTATTGGGTCGCATTATTTATGAATTTAAGAATAAAAAAATATTTTAAATATGAATTTATTTTAAGCGTGTAACATTATTCCTTTTAAGTTATAAAATAATATTAAGAAAATGAAATTGCTTTTTAATCTCCATTGCCATTAGCATTACTCCTATGAGCTTAGCCCTGTCTAAATTTGGACCTGTGCAGCCAATTATGAACCAATCAATAAAATGCTTAAATAAAATAAATAGACGGCCATGAATGTACGACAAGCTCAAATTAGATCAATTTTTCTGTTGTTTGAAGTTGAAAGATTCGCTGGGAAATCCTGATGCATACACATCAAATAACTTTCCCAACTACCAATCTCGTCCCTAAGAACCCCTCTAAAGATTTTGTATTTTCCAAAAGTCATTATTTTGCAAAGTTTTGATCTGAGATCAACCAAACTTGATTAAGTTTCCCTTCATCGCTGACCAGAAAACCCTTTTCGGTTCTGCTTGCTGTCTTCCCAGTCTAAACTTCTCCACGCTGTCATCTTCGGCGGTGGATCTGCAGAGTCTGCGGCGGCGACATAAGGGAGCTCGGGAAACTGGTTGAGCTCAGGCGTGCGGAGCAGGAACGGCGATTCAAAGAGGTGTCTTGTATTTCTTTTTCCCATTTTGTTATTTGGTTATGTATTAGCCGTGTTTATTTATTTTTATTTTATTTTTTTTTTGTTTTTTTTTTAATGTATTAGCTGCGTTTATAGGAATTCATTTGGATAAATTTAGGGTAAACTATCTTTCTGGAACCAGAAAGCTTGTAGCTTTAGCCTTTAGGTGTATCAAGTTTTGGTCTTCCTTTTCTGTCTGTTCGAGTAGTTCATAGAGTGGCAATTAATCGAGCAATGACTTTCAGCTGGTTGGAGTCAACAGAAGAGAGTAGAAGAATTATCGAATAACAGTTGACTTCTTGGCTTGATGCCCTTTGGTTCCTGGATGAGAGCCGTCTTCCTCAAGGGCCTGGGGTAGCCCAAGCTTTGAGACTTCTAGGCCAGAGCCAGGTAAATTTTCCATTGCATCCATTTGTATCTTCAAAAAAGGACAACAAAATACATAATTTTCTCCTTCAGATGTCCCAAGATTGGATTTTTAAGCTTACTCCAGCTTTATTTGTTGCTGTATTCACCGTTTTGGTGTTAGATGTTGCTTCTCGTTATTGTGATCTGAGGCGGCTCAGCTCTGTGCTAGATTTTGTCCGCATTATGCAGAGTTTGGTTATGATTTCTTTATTTGCGATGAGCACTGAAGGAACTATATTCAGGTATTGCTCTAAGATTTTGGGTTGAAAACAAAAAAAAAAAAGTGGACTTTTTTTTTCTTCTCAGTTTTGGAGAAGAGTAATTTTATTTATTTATGTAATTAGATGGTCTTTTGACTGAAGAAGACTAGTGTGCCCAATGTATGTCCGTATTCATTCTACCATGTCAGAGAGAAAGATGCAGTCCACGATCTCTGAGACCCGAAGGTTCCTCTTCTATGTGGTCTCCCTATCCATCTTCCTTTTGATCTTCTCTTGCTTCACTCTATGGAGATCAAACAGTGCCAATTCACTAATTCCTGAATCAGTCCTAATGCTGATGCTTGTTAATAACACATCAGTTCTTAGTAACAAGGGTGGTGGTGGCTCCAAAAGCATTTCCAGTCTTCAATCACTTGTTACACCTCCTACATATGTTAAAAATACCAAACCTCCATCAAATATTCGAGTAGATTTTAAACAAAATGCTCAAGATATGAAAGTTTGTGATTCAAATCAGGCTATACTGAAGGTTTTTATGTATGAATTACCTCCTGAGTTTCATTTTGGATTGTTGGGTTGGAAGGGGAAGAGCGGCCAGGCTTGGCCGGATGTTAGTGATGTGAATAACTTGCCGAACTACCCTGGCGGGTTAAATTTGCAGCATAGTATGGAATACTGGCTGATTCTTGATCTTCTTGCCTCAGATTATCCTGATGTGAACAGACCTTGCACTGCAGTTAGAGTACATGACTCGAGCATTTCTGATGTGATTCTTGTGCCATTTTTCTCATCTGTGAGCTACAACAGGCACTCAAAGCTTCATGGGAAAGAGAAGGTTAGCAGGGATAAGTTTCTGCAGGATAAATTGGTTAAGTTCTTAAGGAACCAGGAAGAATGGAAAATATCAGGAGGAAGGAATCATTTGATCATGGCACATCATCCGAATAGCCTTTTAGATGCTCGGAGAGAGTTGGGGTCTGCAATATTTCTGCTAGCAGATTTTGGAAGATACCCTCATGAAATTGCAAACATTAAGAAGGACATAATCGCACCCTACAAGCATGTCGTTAATTCTATTGGGAATGACTCCTCTCCATTTGAAGCTCGGCCAATTTTGGCTTACTTTCAAGGAGCTATCATTAGGAAAGATGTGAGTTATTCTTATTAAGTATTTACTGTCACATTGATTTATTGTTGATATAGACCATCCTTCTGTTTACTTCTATCAATTGTAGAATTCATTTCCTTTATTGAAAGTATTTTCTACTTGCATGAGTATATTTAAACTTTTTTTCTATATATATGCTTTAGTATCGCATCCCTTGTTCAACAATATTCTGATGTGATGTTGCATATACTATTTCATTTATTAGATGTTGGGGATGGAAGTAAACCACATGATAAAACAATTAAGAAAATAAATGCAATGAAAAGTAAAAGTGAAGAAATGCAAGAACAAAGAAAGAGATAAGTAGAGATAGAAAATAACAATAAGAATAGAATTGTATTAATCTGCCTTAACGGTTACAGACACAGCATACATATATATAATCTTTACACTTGTATAAAATGACACGTGTAAGGATCTAACTGGGTGGCTATACATAATTACTTATTTGCTGATTTGTATAAGACAGTTCTATCATTCCCCCGCAAACTGATTATTGGGTCCAATAGTCAGTTTGGATCGTAGAAGTTTGAACCGAGGAGTAGCCAACGGTTTTGTTAGAATGTCAGCTAGTTGTTCGATCGTGCTGATGGGTAAGAGCCGAATGATATTGTGCTGGATATGTTCACGAACAAAGCGTTGGTCGATTTCTATATGCTTTGTTCGTGCGGTCTTATTATTTGCCAATGCTATGGTAGACATATTATCACAGAATATGTCGACTGGTTGAGTATGTGGAATTCGGAAATTAGCAAGAAGGCGCTTGATCCAGATAGTATCTGCCGTAGCTGATGCCAGAGCCCGGTATTCCGATTCAGTACATGATCGGGATACAGTAGTTTGCTTCTTGACTGTCCAAGAGACTAAAGTATCGCCAAGAAATGTGCAGAAACCGGATGTAGATTTTCAAGTTACCGGATCCGAGGCCCAGTCCGCGTCCGAGAACGTCCGGAGCAGTATATTCGATCTGGAAATGGGAAGGCCAAATTCTGTTGATCCTTTGATGTACCGGAGCAATTTCTTTAACATCACTGTATGAGTTGTTGATGGATTATGCATATGTTGTGAGAGGACATTGACTGCGTAGGCTATGTCGGGACGCGTCAATGTAAGGTATTGCAGTGATCCGATAATTTTCCTGTAGTTGAGTGCGTCAAAGCTCGGAGGATTGTCGGGCGCTATTACTGGCATTTTCGTGACGGACGAGTTAGCGACCGAGTTACATTTGTGTAGCTCGGCCATTTGAATAATAGATTTGGCATACAGACTTTGGGACAGAAAATACTTATCTAGAGTGGATTCGATATTGATGCCGAGAAACTGGTGTGCTGCCCCGAGATCTTTCATCGTGAATTTGGATTTCAGTTGATCGACCAGATCGTTCATGGTTTTGACGTCGTTGCCGATTAGGAGAATATCGTCCACGTATTCAAGCAAGTAAAGTTGTATGTGATCGCGATGCAAAATCAACTGGGACGGGTCTGCTGACTATGGAGGAAGCCGATCTGAAGAAGGTAAGTTGTGAAAGTGGTATACCATTGTCTAGGTGCTTGGCGCAAGCCATAGATAGCCTTTTGTAGACGACATACGTGGTTGGGGTTGGACGAGTCCTCAAAACCTTTAGGTTGTCGCATGTAGACCGTTTCGTTGATGTCACCGTGCAAGAACGTGTTCGCAATGTCAAGTTGATGAATTGGCCACTTGTGAAATAGAGCCACCGTGAACAGAATTCGGATAGTCAATAGCTTAGCGACTGGACTAAATGTGTCTTGATAATCAAGACCGCATTCCTGTTGATTACCTTGAGCCACAAGTCTGGCTTTGAATCGTGCCACCGAACCGTCAGAGTTGTACTTGGTTCTGTATGTCCATTTTGATCCAAGAATAGAGCCGTTGGTAGGGGGCGGTACCAGCATCCAGGTACCCTGTTTTTGCAATGCGAAAAACTCTTCTGCCATTGCCCTTCTCTATTCAAACTTTTTGATGGCTTCACCATAGGTTGTTGGATCAGCTTGCGATTGTTCTTGATGTAGTAAGTTTAGCCTTTGGACCGATTTGAGAGAGCCAGTTTTCTTTCTGGTAGTCATAGGATGTATGGCAGTAGGAATAGGTGCCGAAGGCAGAGGTCGATTGTTGTTAGAGTCTGTTGGAGCAGTGTTGATTTGTGGCGTTATGTTATGCAGAGATGCATCCTTAGAATTGAAATTACAACTTGGCTCCTGAAGTATGGTTCATTTGGTTTGTAATGTGGATGTGGGGATGAGAAGCAGAGTGGGTAAGGTGTGGTGAGGCAATGTATCTTGAGGGACCTGTTCTTGAACGGAAACGCAGTTTCATTAAATTTAACATTTCTAGAGATGAAAATTTTGTTCGTTACCGGATTCAAACACTTGTACCCTTTCGAAGTATCGGAATAGCCAAGAAATATGCACGAGAGCGACGTTGGCATTAGTTTTGTGCGATGAATCGGAGGAGACAGAGGATAGCATTCGCACCCGAATGTGCGAAGGTGCTCGTATGTTGGTTTTATGTTGAACATTCTTTGAATTGGTGACACGTTCTCGGTGGTAATGGAAGGAAGACGGTTGATGAGGTAAGTCGCCGTGCAAGCAGCATCCAGCCAGTAGGTCATGGGTAATCCGGCTGTTTGGAGTAGTGTTCTTGTCATCGTGATGATATGTCGATGCTTTCGCTCTGCGATCCCGTTTTGTTCGGGAGTATATGGACACGAAGTTTGGTGACATATTCCTGTATTCTTTGTGAACGTTTGAAAATGGTGATTTACGAATTCGCCTCCACCGTCGGTTCTTACAGTTTTGATCTTGCGATTCGTTTGTCGTTCAATGAACTTAATGAATTGTATAAAAGTATTAGTAACATCCGACTTATATAGAAGAGGAAAGAGCCATATAAACCGGGAAAAATCATCTACGAAAATTACGTAATATTTGAATCCTTGATGTGAGGGAACCGGCGAGGTTCCCCACACGTCAGAGTGAACGAGTTCGAGCTGAGTGCTAGTTCTACTAGTTGATCGTTCAAAAGATAGTTTTTGACCTTTTCAAGACAAACAAGAAGTACAAACAGACTTAAGAGACGGAATATGTAAAAATGGATTGTTCTGCGAGATATGTTGAAGAATGCAATAATGAGGATGTCCAAGACAAAGATGCCAGTCCACGGAGGATGTGCTAGCGGCCGTTAGAGCTGTAGATGACGACTGTGTTTGCGGAACTCCAATCTTGTACAAACCGTTGCTACATGGACCTTTGAGAATAACTTGATTGTTCGTCCGATCCTTAAAGACAAATGCACTTGCGTCAAAAGTTATAGAAATTGGGTTATCTTTAACAAGATTAGATATAGATAACAAGTTATAGGATAGGGACGAAATATGAAGTAGCCGAGAGAAAAGGAGCTTACTAGCCGGGGTAGGAAGGATTCCCGTTCCCGTGTGGGCTATTGGAACGGACCTTCCGTCCCCGATTCTTACCGTGTCATTGCCTTTGTAGGCGTTGTTGCTATCCAGATGTTCGGTCGTGTTAGTCATGTGCGAAGACGCGCTGGAGTCAATGTACCAATCTACCGCCGGATTGCTGTCATTGTTTGCAATGAAAGCATTGTTGTTCTTGGAGGATTGAGGATTCAGTGCGTAATTGATGTTGAGCCAGTGCCAGCATGCATCTGCCAGATGACCTTTCTTTTTGCATATTTGGCATATGATTCCCGAATTCTGAGAAGGTTTGTTCGCCTGTGCATTATCAGGCACCGATCGTCCACGACCGCGTCTACCACGACCCCTAAATGTATAGAGAGCGGATTGATTGTCCGGCAGTTTAGGAAACTTTAGTGCCGCATATTTGAGATGGATTTCTTCACTAATTAGAAGAGCATATAGGTTGTCGAGAGACAGCGAGCCTTGCATTGTGCGTATGGTTGTCGTAAACGACTGGTACGCCGGAGGTAGACCATTCAAGATGTAGATCAACAGATCTTCTGGATCTACCGACGAGCCTGCAGAGGAAATCTGATCCACGATCTTCTTGATTTCAGTGAGATATTGAGTCATGGACATGGTTTGCATTGAGACGTTGTGTAGCTCATTTTTTAGCTGGATGACCTTTGCTCTGTTAGATGATTGGAATCGCGTGTGGAGAGTCGACCAAATTTTGTGTGTGGATTCGAGATGAATAACATATGGTAGAACCGCCGGCGATATCGTGGAGCACATTGCCGTTGCAAGATTTTGATCTGTGACTTGCCATTTTTGAGAATCTTGATTAGGATCGGCATTCTCCAGTGCCGATTTCAGATTAAGAAACTCGGCGAAACCATTCGCCTTAAACAACTTGGCGATTTGAGTGCTCCAAATGGGAAAGTTGTCCGGTGTAAGAGAATGTGGAACCAAAAATTTAAGATTCGAAATGACGAATTTGAGGGATGGTGAGATGATCAGAGCCGAAGCAGCTGCGCCAGTGGTGGCGCCGATCGAAGATGAAGCTGAAGCCTGGTTCGCCATTGCGAGGTCCTCAGAACCGACCGTCTCTTGATACCATGAAGAAATGCAAGAACAGAGAAAGAGATAAGTAGAGATAGAAAATAACAGTAAGAATAGAATTGTATTAATCTGCCTTAACGGTTACAGACACGGCATACATATATATAATCTTTACACTTGTAGAAAATGACACGTGTAAGGATCTAACTGGGTGGCTATACATAATTACTTATTTGCTGATTTGTATAAGACAGTTCTATCAAAAAGGACATTAGGATTTTACATGGAAAAACTCAAATCAGGAAAAAATCAATGAGTCACACCACACCAAGAAATTCACTATGAAAATTGTGAGAAATAAGTACATATCTCTCTTCTCTTTCACTCTCTCTATGTTTCTCTTCTCTCTTACACCATTCTCACATACAAAATACAAGAGAAAGTCAAGTTAATAACACCAAGGGACGCCACTCATCAGAAAAACGAGAAAAAAAACCGTCCAGTCCTCCTGAATCTAGTTTATAGCTCTGCGATGCTCAAACTCTGACCTCGATCTATCTAACAATGATGCAGCGCTCAAACCCGCAGCATTGCAGCACTACACAGCGCTACGGCGCTCACTCTCTGTCGTTTCTTCCAGGCAACTTTACAATGCCGGGGAGTTGTACGGAAAAATAAAAGGAAAAAAAAAAAAAACCAAGCAAGGGGAGAACCCCCCTCACCTCCTAGCGAGCACGAGAAATTGACTTGAGCTTCGATGAAACAATGCAATCCAATTGTTCGACACAATCAGATTCCACACATACTAACATTTGATAGCTATGGGAAGGGCATGAACTACGCTTATCATATTTGTACTCTTATGTTGGCATTTTGAACTAATCTACAGCTTCTAGTAGCTTTTTTTTTTATTATAATAAGAAAATTTTTTGCATGAACTACCCTTGTATAATATTTTCATCTCTACCATTATTAAAAGTTCTCTGATTTTTTTCCCTATGTAAACTCTTTTTGTTAATGTCATGTTTTATGACATTTTTTGCTTCTGCTATTCTGCAGTAGTGTCAGGATCTTCGCTAAATGCATTTCCTTGAATTAACACTAGCCAATTTTAACGCGTGTCATTTCTTATATGTTTATTAGTTGTTTAGTTGGTGGTTGCATTCAATTTTGCTATCATATTAGCGTTATTATCCGCATATGATTCTCCATTCATTTTTATTCTTCTTTGTTTAATTTATGCTTCATTTGGCATTGTTTTATATTGTCTGCTTTTTCATCCTTGATTAGTAGAAATAATTATAGTTTGTTTGGAAAAATAATTATTGAAAAGAGTCAAATTGTATGGAAGTTCTTAAGAAATTTATGTGATGAGAAGTTTATACAACTAGATCAGATAGTATACTAGCTGTAAGAAAGTTGTTGTCTAAGGCTTCGTTTTAGACGGTTTTTTTATTTCTTAAAATAGCTTTTTAGTATAAAAATTAAATTTTTGTATTAAAAAGTTATTTTAAGAAGCAGTAAGAAAGCCATCCCAAACGAAACCTAAATTTCTTAAAATGGAAAAATTCTATAATACTCATCGCTTCCCAAAAAAAAAAATATTCCGCAACAATTCTACAACTTTTTTTATCAGGAGTCCCAGCCACCCCAAACAACCCTAAAATCATTTCACGAGTTTTTAACTTTCATCTAATTATTTATATATTTATATGCTTCATATTATAAATTTTTAGTTATATGATATTCATAATCATATTTATTTTAGCCATTCAATCAACTCATATCAATGATTTTATCAGATAATCATCCCTTTTACTTGACAGCACAACTTAGCATAGTTCAAAATAACAATGAAGAACACAATCCCATTTGTTTCTCTGATGTTTCAGGGTGGGATGATCCGACAAGAATTATATCAGCTTCTAAAGAATGAGAAGGATGTCCACTTCACGTATGGAACTGTTGCTGGAAATGGTATCAATCGTGCAGGCAAGGGCATGGCTTCATCTAGATTTTGCCTCAACATAGCTGGAGATACTCCCTCGTCGAACCGCCTTTTCGATGCAATCGTTAGCCACTGTGTACCTGTAATTATTAGTGACAACATTGAACTTCCCTTTGAGGATGTCTTGAACTATTCAGATTTTGCTGTTTTTGTGCAAGCTTCAGATGCCATTAAAGAAGGCTATTTACTGAATCTCCTTAGAGGGATCAATAGTGAACAGTGGACACAAATGTGGAGAAGATTGAAGGAAGTTGCTCCTCATTTTGAATACCAATATCCATCCAAAGATGGTGATGCCGTTGAAATGATTTGGAAGGCAGTTGCTCGAAAGTCAGCAGCGGTTCGGTTGAGTATTCATAAGGAGAATCGGTTCCGTCGGTCTCAAACCGGAGAATAGAGGCTTGCAATTAAAGGTATTAAATTCATGTACATGATCACAATTAGTAGTTTTAGAATTCTCTTTTTAATGTGATGTCATATGGCTATTGTTTAGTTAAACAAATTTGTTATAGAATGTCTGGTTTGACAGATTAAGTTATTCACTTCAGTGATATTGAGATTTTTTTCTACTGTAAAAGCTTATGAAATTTGTCCGTCAGTCAAAAATACTACCAAAGCATACATGGCTATCGGCTTATTTGAAAGCAGTTATGCGTTCAAATTCAAAATTTCAGCTTATATAACTGTTGTCATTACTTAAGCGAGAATAGATGGTTCCAAGTACAGCTTTTGATTTGTGATAAGATAACCAGCTTAACTAGTATTGATTCTTCACTAAATTTTCTAGGAAAGAGCATATCTTCCTTACACCACATTCTCAGTATCATTTGTTATGGATTTAGTAACCAAACAGAACATGTTGGATACTTTCAGAACTCTGTACAAATCTCTATTCTTCCAACAAGATAAAAAAACATTGAAGTATGAAACAAGAAAACCAAGACAGACTAACCAAGCTCGAAAATGAAACCAAGCTTTTTGAATCTGTAAAACCTTTTAATTTACTTGCATCACCGCCATCACCGCCGCACTAAAAAAAGTTTTCTATGCCATTTTAGCACCTGTTATGGATGGGATCGGATCCTCTTCGAACTCTCCTCTTGCTCGTTCTATTTAGGTCGAAGGAGGAAGGTGAAATCTCTGACCCCTCCCTGGAATCAACATTGACAACCTCTACCTCTTTAAAGTTGCTTGGTGCCTCTGCCAAGAAGCCATGCTCTATGCTTCTAATGCTATTAGCCTTCTCTGACTGAAATGCCAACAAACATACGAAGAATAGAAGTAGAAGAAGCTTATGAAGGTGAGAGCACACCATAGCTTCAAAATTTAATCAGACATAGCAGACATGTTCCTTGCAACTCTAGTAAATATAGGAGGCCTCATACTTATCTGTTATGGACTTTTTAGTCTAAAATCTAAAGGCATAAAGCTCAGGGACCCAAAACACCTAGAGGGAGTGTTAGATTCACCTCCCAATCATTCAAGTTAAGGGTTTAAGGCTGGCTTAGAAGGTTCTGAAATGGCCACATGAATAAAGATGTTTTGGACAGGGAAGCTAGGTATCTTTCCATACTGATCCTTGTCTCCCTAAGCAAACAAGCACTTGGCTTTATGCTCCTCTCTCCTGTGATCTTCATTGTTCCACTTTGGAAAATTCTTTCTTGGAATCATCCAAGCACTGGTACAGTGGTACCCATGTACTTGGTTTATTGTGCAGAATGAGCTTCTTTGTGCTTTTCTTTAGTATACCATGAACACTATCTGCCACTTTCTTCTGTATTTCTTTGGTCCCAACCTTCATTCAAAGTTCCAAAGAGAATTCTTAAGATGCTTTCATTTCCTTTTTCTTTTATTTTCACTCATCTAATTCCCTTTTTCTTTAATTCATGCAGACAAACTTGCTTTTTCTTCAGGCATTATTTTAAACTAATTCATTGCTTAATATATAACCTGAATAAACTTCCAAACTTCATTATTGCAAAACAAAACTCAAATCTACCATAGTTTTCCTTAAAAATTAAAAAAAAAAAATGGTTCAAGGATTTTCCCAAAAGCTGCTTACAATCTTACACAAACCAATTGAACCATTTGCATTAAATTACTGAAATTGTTCAAAATAAATCATTCAAAGTAGGCTTAACATCTCATTAAGCAATCAACAAGGATAAGAGGAGAATGGGTACTCAAAAAGTTTATCTCAAATAGTTTTTAATCTCGAATCTTAACATTCTGAAATACTGTATAAAATTAATTAATTAATTAATTAATGTAATAAGCTGAGGACCGGTCTTGTTCTAAGACTATGAAGCCAATCTCAGATTTGCTGCCAACGGTATGGGCATTCTGCTGTTTCTTTAAGCTTTGGTATTAAAGCAAAAGAGTTGCAGTGCTTGTTGCTGCTTTCCAAGCATAGTTTCTTTTGCCTTTAGCTTAATCTCCAAAAATAAATCTTGATACCATATGGGATTCTTCAAATTTTTTTAAATTGTTTGTTGATTTCCTATCTGCCAAGTAAATTTGTTATAACACCACAAAATTAAATTGCAGCAAAGAACTTCATTTTTATATGCAAATTAATAATTATTAAATAGCAAGTGGATGTTTGCACTTAGTATTGTCCCTGTAATTTTGTCATTTTGCTAACATATATTGTTTTCAAATATATATATATATATATAGCCTTTCGGGTTTTCCACGTAGAAACCTTTGTGTTCATTTCTCATTTTGTGTGCTGAATATTCGTGCAACGTTTGGACGCGAATTCATAAACTCTACCGCCGCGTATTTTCTAGCATGCAACAATAATAATGTTTTCTATATTAATGTCACACTATAGATCGTGCATTTTTACCATTTATATCATTGAGTTTGCATTATAAATCCTTTTTTTATTAATATTTGTCTTAGCAGAGCTTACCAAGCTAATTAGTAGACATTTGCAGCAGCAGCAAATTCTTCATTCAATATTTTTGTATTAGTTTTAGCTCTTCAGTAAATTAAAACTTAGCTGGTATTTTGTGTCAGTTATTATAGATGTAGTTGATTTTTTTTTTTTTTTGATATTTTAGTTTCTTCTTGATGAATGAGTGCTAGCTATTCTATTGATTTAATAAACTCCATTTCATATATTTAATGACTTTATATATAATTTGTCTTTTAAAATAAGTAAAATCTACTGCAATATATATATATATATATATATATATATATATATATATATATATATACAGCAAACTCACACACATATACAAGACTCAAATTCAAAATCTTTTAGTTGATAGTCGAAGCTCCCATTCAACAAATCAAAATAAAATGCATTCTACTTGATGTAGTTTAATCACTTCTTCAGCTTGAAAGAGAGCTAAGCTAAGCTTTGGAATTTGTGGTGGAGGTGAGTGACTGATTAAATAATAAGTAAATATCATATAATTTGCATAAGAAATCATGAAAATTTATAGATATATTGGAAATATTTACAAAAGCTTTTTTTTCTTTATTCATTTAATCTTTTTCCTTTGAACAATATTTGATAAAATTCTTAGAACTAATACCAATCTATTAGAAAATATTAGAAATGATCTTTCTTTGGTAGATTTAAATAAGAATTTGATTTTTAACATGACACAATGGCGAAAAAGTATTCATGTAGCCGACGCCACGTAATGGGACAAAAGTTTGATGTTGTTGTTGTAGTAGTATCAATATATTAGAATCAAATTTATGCTTTGATGCTCAATTTTTCACACATACAAAAAGGCAAAAATATTTCTCAGAGGCACATCAAAATTCTAAAGGTTATGTGAGAAAGAGAAGAATCAATCCATCATTTAACGAGATCATTTTCTCTATCAGGGTTATAACTCTACAATTAAACAAAAATTTCACAATCCAAAGTATTGTAAACTTTATTTAAAATTAAAAAAAAAATAAATCACAACATTTAATAACAATAATTTTTAAACCATTGGATTTTACAGTTTAAATGGTTGAAAGTCTCAAACTCAAAAAATAAAGCATAATACAACTCACCTTGGTCTATTGGTTCGGAGCTTTGACTATCAACTAAGAGGTCTTGTGTTCGGGTCTTGTACATTGCGATGTGTGTGTGAGTCTATTTTAATTGGCCTAATTGTCCTAAAATAAATAAATAAAGCTTGCATTTAGGTCAAAAATTGAGTCAAATTTGCGCCATTTGAGTTTGAAGCTTTCAAAGTCTCAAAATTGAATGAGCTAACCCTAATTTTGAGTAAAGTTGAATATATTTAGAATTAGCATGAAATATATTTCAAATGACACTATGAAAAGAGATTGATAGCTTAATTAGAGGAAATAGGCTATTCATAAAATTTACACATTAGATTTGTAATATTATGGAAATATATTATTATTATTTCTAGAAATAAAAGTGTGGAGAGAAAAGCATTGCCCGTCTTACAGCTAAGTTGATTACGGTCTAAAAAATTATAGTAATAAATAGTGCTGAGATTATCCTATTGCCCTTTCAAGTATGAAGCTTCATTCTTCTTCTTCTTCTTCTTCTTTTTTTCTTTTTTTTTTTTTTTTTTTTTTTGGTTGATCTTTTTTTTTTTTTTTTTTTTTTTTTTTTTTTTTTTTTTTTTTTTTTTTTGTGGAGAAATTTATTCTGCTAAATGGAAATATTTGTCAGAAAATAATGATTTCAATCACAAATAATAATTACTAAAAAAGTTTGAATTTTTTCTCTACAAAATTAAATTTTTTTGGCAACTTAGAAGTTTGATTACGGTCTAAAATATCTAACAATTTTTTCTTAAAAGACATTAATTTTAAATCTCATATTATTTTTAGATTTCTTGAAAAGAATTATATATATATTCTCAATTTCTCAACCAAGCTAGTGGAAGAGAACTAATTTCCTTCCATCAACCAACTCTTGAACAGGCTCAAACCAAAAATAATAAATAACTTATTAAACATGCTCTAAGAACTAAGAAGCCAAACTTATTAGCTAAACAATATAAAAAAAATATTAAGATAAAATATGCAAAATATAATGAAATTAATTATTTAAATACCAAGTTGTTAAATTTATTTTAAATTATGTCACTTTTTTTAATAATTTCTTACTATTTTCTCATAATTATTATTATTTTTTATCATTTTTTGCAACAATTGCTTGAATCAAAATTAACTTTATGACTTTCATAATATATGAGTCAACTCAAACTTGTAGAAATGAGCTCGAGATTGAGCTCAAATCTGATTAATTAATTAAGCTCATGCTCAAGCCAGAGATGCACAAACTCGACTCAACAAGACTTTACACCTCCACATCAGCCTCGCAATAGCTAGGCCTTCAATACAAAGCCATTTCCCATATTCATGATGTCTCTAACACAATCAGCTAAGCATTCATTTAGGCTTCGTTTGGGACGGTTTTCTTACTGCTTAAAGCAATTTTTCAATATAAAAATTAAAATTTTTATACTAAAAAATTATTTTAAAAAACAGTACAAAGCCTTAATTTGAATGCTGGTGATAGCCATGAATCCCAAATGATTGATAATATTGCTGAGGTTAAGTATAAATGATTCCAACTGCAAATATATATTCGATTTACGCTAACAAGTGCCATATTTCTTGCTGAAAACGTAGTAAATTGGCATTGTTACTGAATACTGATTGCTATTACTGCCATGGAATGCTTACTTGTGAACTTGAAGGTTTGAAACCCAGATTTGTTTAGGCGCTAGTCTCCTCCAAAACCAGGGGCAATTCCAAGCTTTGATCACCCCTCTGAATCTTCAAAAGAACCTTATCTCCCACTTCGTAATCATCCAGAACCTTAAATAGTTCTGCTTTATTTCTCACCTGTTCCATTTCATAAATTTTAGAAGAAAATTTCCTCTGCATTTGAATCGTCAAGGAATGAGGGGAAGAGGATAATAATCAAAATGTGCATAAGAAATCCAAAAATATTAGGTCTGAAAAGTCACATATGAAATCCATACTGATAAATCTCTAAAAACTCACAGGCTTCTCATCAACCGCAAGAATGATATCACCCAGAAGTATGCTGCCTGTAAAACCTCTTGTTGTGGGAAGCAGACCAGCCTTTGCTGCAAGACTATTAGCAGTAACCTGAGAGAATATAAAAAGAAAGCAATCTTACCTTAAACGGTATTTTCTACCATCATCTGTGATAAAGAAGAGCGAGGGGGAGATTTACATACATACCATTCTTATGTACCTATATATCTAATATCTAAACTTTAATATTTATTTAAATAACATCAAAATCTTTATATCACATCAAAAATATTCTAATATTATCTTTTTTTTAAGTGAAAATTACATTCTTATGCCTGTTGCGGACTGGAACATTCATGATGGTAGATAAATATAAAGTTTAACGTCCTAGTTTTATATGATGATCCACCACACAATCAGATAAAAGAGAGGGGTGTAGTATTCATAAGAACGTGAAAATCCCTAAAAAGAAAGAAAAATCACGGGGAGTCGATTACAAATGAGGTCTTTCCTTGGGGGGAAGGTATTGGCTTAATGTAACAAATATACATCATATAGAGTGCATTACATTGTGGGAGTTGGAAAAATTAGTGTTGACATGTTCGTTTGGTTGGCAAGACTATAGTCGGGCGACGGTGGTCGGAATGACCATTGTTGGGCGACAGAGGCTTGAAAGACTGTAGTCGGGCGACGGTGGTCGGAAGGATCGTAGTCGGGCAACAGTGGTCGGAAGGACCGTAGTAGGCGAGCGACGATGGTCAGAAGGACCTTAGTTGGATGACGGTGGTCGAAATAATCATAGTCGGGGAACGAAGGAGGTCGGAAAGACCGTTGTCGGGTGACGATGGTCAAAAGGACTGTCGTCGGAGGTCGGAAAGACCATAGTCGAATGACGGCTGGTGGTCGGGCAAAACTCTGACGATGATTGGTGGCCAGGCAAAAGTCCAATGACGGTCGGTGGCCTGGCGTAAATTTGCCATCAATTGGTGGAAGTCCGGCGACAGCTGGTGGTCGAGCATAAGTCATGCGACAGTCGATGGCCGGGCATAAATCTAACATCAATTGGTGGAAGTTCAGTTGTCAGCCAGTGGTCACATGGAAGTCGGGGGACAGTCGGTGGCCGGTGTCAATTGGTGGTCGTACGGCGGTCAAGGAGGAGTCTGGTGGCAAGAGAACTCTGATTTCTCTTCATTTTCTCTGTTACTTGCTTCCTCCCCTGCAATGAAGAGTGGAGGGTCTATTTCTAATTTTTTGGGAGCAGCATGGCCAGTAAATAATGAGAAGATCAATTGGCATGTTGGAAGTGTTTTGAATGGGCGGCCGATATTGACTCCTTTAATTGTGGACTGTTTATCGAGTATTTAATTGCCTTAGTGATGTCGAATTCGACAATATTGGGATATTGGATTCTTCTCATCGAGCCGCTCAATTCGACTCTATAAGCATGTCACTTTTGAAAATCATTTGATTGCTCAATTTATGGTTTGAACCTTCTAAATGCACTTCAGGTTCTTGATTTGAACCCTTTGGCCTCATATTGGGTCAAATTTGGTGTCGTTGGGTTTTTCTTTTCAAGGCATTCAGTTCGGCTATAAGTTTGTTGAAATTGGAGTTCAAATGGTCCCAAATTTAATTTTGGAAGTTTTCAATGCGATTTTGCCTCGAGATTCGTGCTCGATCAAGATAATTTTTTGATGATATATCAATACCTATATTTTGATGTGATTAAGACACTAAAGTGTTATATTAAAAAAATATCAAATTTTAGGAGTTATAAATGTGTGTATAAAAATTATGTGGTATACATGTAAATTAAAGATAGCATGGTGAGCCATTAATAGAGAACTTGGAGCATAAAATTAGACATATACCTGCAGCACCAGAGCTCCTTTTCTAACGTTTAGTTGATTAGCAACAAGATCCGGAGCAACCTCAACATTTAAACCAGCACGAACAGCCTTCGATTAGAAGAAAAGCAAGATTAATAAGAACTTTTGGAGATCCAAACGTGTTCCCGGAGCCCTCAAGCATACAAGATAAAGCAAATAACAAAAAGCTTCGACCCATGTGAATTACTTTCTGTAAGTCGTAGACTGGTGTGTAAGTGTAGTTAAAAGGAATTAATTGGTGTTGTAGACACTTCGAGTTGTTTGATTGTATGAAAAGGGAAGGCAATGTTAACTTGAGGAGCCAAAATATTTCTCAACAACATAAGCGCAAGATTCAAAAACAGCTTGTTGGGACATATACTAATTTTCTTAATTTTTTTCTTGGTTAATTAGGAGTTCAAAATTTTATTAATGTTTGCAATTGTTAATTAGATTCAAAACAAAACTTAAACCTAATCATGCTTTGAATTATACTTACTCTCCGTAAATAGGAGGCCAAAATGAGCCAACTACCATGCAGTTAATAGCCGACTGTGTGGCTCTACGTGAAAGACAAATAAAAGCTTATATGCGTTTAGGAAGAGTAGGCTACCCGAGGTGAATTTGTGACCTGTTGGAGTTTAGTTTAAAAGGGAAAAAACAAAGAGAGGAAGAGAAGATAAGAGAGGAAATTATTTGGTGTTTTTGATCAGGAGAATCGCTTTAACACAATGCACGCTAGGAGGTGTTGATGCACGCATATTGGTGTGGCAATCAAATGCAGTAGTGCCAAGTTTGGTAGTGTCAAGAAATATATTGTTGGTGTGGACTAGGAATAGTTTTATTTAAATGCCCCTCACAATATTTGTTATACAATAGAATATTGCTAAGGTAAGCAATAATGAATTGATATGTGGTAAGGATTGAGTACCTCATTCATACTTGGAGAGAGTCGTCCCGATCCTGGCAAGCATCTACAACCGTCAATTTTCAAAGCACACGTGGAGCCTTGACGGTCACCTACAACACCCATCCCCGCCGGCTACTTTTCCTCCGACGAAGTTCTTTGGCGCCCTTTCTCTAGTGGTAACTTCCTTCATCGCTTGGATCTTCTATCTCCGCCAAAAGTCCACCAACCTTTGAGTGATACGGCCCCAAGGTGAAATTCTCGTTGTTAAACATTGGGTTTGCTATTGTACTTTGCATATGAAATTCGCCTAGAACTTTGAATGAATCGTTTTGGTTAATCTCTTTTGTAACTCTTTTGCCTAAGCAAAGTTAACGTTTCTAAATCTTAACTCTACCTTGCATGATCCCCATAAAATTATAAAAGCAAACTTTAACAATTCTCTTTTTAATTTTGATCGTAACTTCTGGCCAGATCTATTCTAAAGGAAAGTGCAGATGCGCTGGCTAATTTAGTAAAAGGTGGAAAATTATTTATCTCTTATAAAAGGGCAAACTTTTCTATAAGAGTTAGTTAAGTTTATTGCTTTAGGAAGAGCTCAGGGTGGACAATTGCCCACCCTGAAATCTTTTTTTCCTTAAAAAATAAACATTTTAATTATTTTGTCAACCTTAAATAAATGTAGTTACTCAAATTCTAAAAAAAAATCTATTTTCTATTCAAACATAAGACTACATTTCACAATTCTATTTTGTCCGCCTCAAAAGAGAGGTTGGTTCCACCCATGGCTCTAGAAAAAATCAAGCATAAAAGGCACAAAGCATTATTTTCCTAATCTTATTATCATCTTAAGCTGAACAAGCAATATAAAATCGAAATTGGCACAAATTAACTTTTAAATTTGACCTAGAGAAATTATATCAAGAGATGAGGGATTTTTTAAAAGACATAATTTTTTGTTCATGTTTCACTGATTGTTGTTTCCATGCTTGCAACAACAAATGATGTGAAATTCTAAAAAATACTCACTTTGAAGATCATATGAAAAACATCTAAACAAACAATTGTTGAACTCTATACGAGCTACCGGGTTGAGATAACCCTACATGACAAAAGTGAGAAGCAAAGGGCGATGACGCCACACGAAACTCGATAGAGGTGCATCTACCAAAATCCAAATCACAGAAACAACGTCAATTCACGAAACGGGCAATGTTGGAGCGTTCGAGGTAAATAAAATAGCTAAGATCGACACCTATCAGTTGGGGTTGTCGATCGACGAAAATCAAAATGTCATGCGTGTGAATCAAGGCAGAATCGATGTGGGTTGAATGATGACGATCTGGTAAGCATATTGATGCAGGGTTTATATAAATAAGTATTCATTATTAATTTACAAAAAAAATCATACAACAACAACAACAACAACAACAACATCAAGCCTTTATCCCACTACGTGGGGTCCGCTACATGAATCCTTTTTCTCCATTGTGTCCTATTAAAAGTCAAATTCTCGTTTAAATCTAATAAAGAAAGGTCATTCCTAATATTTTCTAACCAAGTCTTTTTAGGTCTACCCCTACCTTTCTTAACATAAGTCAAATCTAATACCTCTACTCTCCTAACCGGGTCATCACAAGGCCGCCGTTTTATGTGACCAAACCATCTAAGGCGACTCACTCTAATATTATCTTCTACTGGAGCTACTCCAACCTTTTCACGTATATGCTCAATTTGCATCCTATCTCTAAGGATAAAGCCACTCATCCACCTGAGCATCCTCATCTCTGCCACACTTAACTTAGTATTATGCTTCTCTTAGCGTATATGCTTATCTCTTTTTACAAAAAAAAATCATATTAATTTAAAATTAAGAATCAATTTTAAAAATCAAATAAAAAACCCTAAAGTATAAATACCTAAATAACCTAAACCTCCTCACATTCCACTCACTCTCTAACCGAGCCGCCCATCCTCACTCTCCTTTCACATCTCTATCGCTCTCAATTTCACCCACTTTATCACATTCTCATCTTGTCACCACTTTTACCATCCCAACGGTGACTCTCTATAACCACATGTCGTGGTACCTCTACTTCACATGTTTTCGGTGACAACCCCACAAACCAATGCCATCTCCCCTTCTTCTACCTAAATCTTGAAACCCTTGGTAGCAAAGCAACAAGAAAGTCACAATAGGCTCTCATTAAAAGAGACTCGATGGGACCAAAGACGTGCGATAGGAAACAGAACTTTGTGACCTATGGATTTAAGTAAAATCCAACTAAAGCCTAGTTTAATTAAATCAAATTTAAGGGAAAAAAAGGGTGAGAAATGGATTTTATTGTTTGACAAAATCTTAGCCAAATTATGCTTAAATCATGCTCAAAGCTGACCACCTAAACATTGACGCTTCTACTCGCTAGCAACACCTCCCAACCATCACAAAACCTCATCCCTCACCTAAGCCATAGCCTACCTTTTCAATCCTTTCATTCTTCCTCAATCTCTCTTTTCTCTCTCTACTTTTTCTCTTCTCTCTTCCTCTTCTCTCTCTGTTTACCCCTCTCTCTCTCTAATTCTCACCCTCCCTCACTATTTCTTGCTATATCTATCCCTTTCGCCCACTAATTGTCCGCCTCTCTCCATTTTCTTTCTAACTTTACATCTCTCTTCCTCTCTCTTTAATATTCATATTCATATATATATATATATATATATATATTACAAAAAAAAGATAAAGTAAAAAAAAGCAAAAAAGAAAAAAGATGTGAAAAAAAGAAAAAAATGAGAAAGAAACAGAAAAAAGGAGGAAAAAAAAGAAAAGAAAAAAAATCATGTTTGATCTCACCACAATTTCATCACGTCGTCCAGATATCAGCTGGTGTAGATAATCACATCAGATCTTGAATAGGTTATGTTTTGTGATATAAGGATTCGACAAGGACATGGGGATGGATAATAGAATGTAAACAAGAAAAAAGTGGGGGATGTAAGTGCAAACTGAACGCCATCAGCGACTTCAGATTTCATGAACTAATTCAAATGTAACAAACCTGAAAAACGTAAGTTATATAATGCATCTAGTTTGATAAGAATTGAAGATGATTAGGAATCAATAATCAAACCTAACCAGTTCAACAATAAAAATATGCTTAAGAAACATACTTTTCCAAATTTGATCAACTGAGGAACAATCTTAAGAACAGTTGAAGATGGAATTGCAAAGCCTACTCCAGCCGATGTCCCTGCAACGTTAAAAATCTTAGCAAGTGCCTAAGTAAATGCCCAAAGGTAAGTTCAGTTCTGGTAAAATGGACATTAAATGTGCCTCGTGTATCCCTTTGGCACTTGTATAATGTGATTAAGCACCACATGCATACCAATAGATAACAGCAATCTATACTGCCAAAAGAAAAACCATTTTGCAAATTCAGTCATAAATGGGCATCAATTGCCTTTCTGCAGTTCAGCTATTCACAAGCCAACATGATTGTTGATTCAGTGGATTCATGGATAATGCCATGTGCATGCCTTGACATAGCTTATATCTTAATAAAACTTAGCAAAATCATGAATGCATTTCACGACCCATACTTCAAATCAACAACTTAAGGCCAAATTAAGAAAAAATTAACAAATAAACGTGATTCCTTCATTTAGAACGTTTTGTACATTATCATACCAAAAATGTAAATAGGCAAGGCAAAGATGAGCACTGAAATGCAGAACCAAAAAATGTGAGCTGCTGTTGACAGGAGGTGGAGAGTATAAAGTACTGCTTCTTCATTGAATTGTCTTATAATCTCCCTCTCCCTCTCCCTCTCCCTGTCCTCTCTCCTCTCTCCTCTCTCCTCTCTCCTCTATATATATATATATATATGCTCAAAAAAAGAGAACAAGAAAAAAATATATAATAAAGAATAATATTCTAAAGATCGAGAAAATATACCAACAATAAATAACGAATATTCATACTCTAAATTGATAACACATGATAATTTAGATATAGTATTAATCCCATGTACACTCAAGCTAGAATAGTAGTCAACTTGAGTGTAGAATAGTGGTGACCAGAGATTCCGTAATTGAATGTTTTATTCCATAGACGTTACGAATGTCACAAGAGGAGCATGACCGATTAGTGAAAGAGAAAGTGATGTGAATCAAATGCAATGAGACAATAATAAGATCCATGTTAGAGAAGACATGAATAAAATCCTTACTAAGAGGTCTTGATAGAAGGACAGTTATCAACAGTGAGCATTAACAAAGAGTATTGATAGAAAGTTTAGACGAAGTGGTCGATGTAGTAAAGAATAAAGGCACCAAAATATTCGCCATTGGAGAGCAAAGGTACAATTATTGTGAGAAATAGATAAGCCCAAGTACCTTACTGGTCGACAATGGAGATCAATTGTAGCCGACATTTGGCGAGGTGAGAGGTGCAGCATTAAGAAAAATGGGTTAGTCTTTTTTTCTCTATTTTTTAGGTTGGTGACAACTCTCGTAGTACAGCAGAAGATGCAAAGGCTGATGAGTGCGATAGAGAACAACACATGTAGGTGGAGTAGCTCACGTGATCAAAGAAAAAACAAAAGATAATATTGCTCTAATAACATATTAGCAGAGAGAATTATAAAGAACTGCATCTTAACTGAATTGTCTTCTTAGTAAAACCACATATGTACCTAACTATAAGCAAGATAATGATAAATGATAATATCTTCAATAAAGAGAAAATATAATAACTATAAATCGTGTAGATGCCTACTGTAAATAATTAGCACAGATCATAATTTAGTGATAACACTACATTTTTTATCAATTACAATCCACCATAAAATGTGAGATCAATTGATTCCAGAGAAGTGCTAGTAATAAAATATGGATAATTAAAGAGCATACAAATAAAATTCACTTTGATATTGACCATTGATGAGTTTCAAATCCTAAATCTTCTACATCAAAGATTTTATCAGCAGGGGCCTGCACCTGTTTGAGTAAATATTGCTGTATTGATGCCAATCATGTTGCCTCTGGAATCTAACAACGGACCGCCACTGCAAATTGTGAATCCATGAGAAAGTTGGCAAAAATTAAAAACTATACTTTTCAAATGGAAAAATGATCAAAATGATCTCTTGCCTCTTTATGAATGATCAAAATGGTCCCCTACTCTATATTAAAGGATCATATGTTGGTCCCTCAAGACCTTATAGAGGAATTAAAATAGTCTCATCTTTAAGAAGTTGAAGGACCAAAATAGTCCTATTTTGATCTTTCATAAAGATTCAAGGGACCATTTTAATCCTTTTCTTCTTTTCAAGGCCTGCACAGCACATTGGATACAAAGTTCCCCACACTGGAGAAATCCTCCATGCTGCAGCTAAAGAAAATTTGCTGCCGCTGCAGTTCCAAAACAGCATGAATCATACACAGGCTGTTCATCCAACCGTTTTATGCAGCAGCACAGCCTATCGGAAACCCTTTATATATTAAAAAGTCCAATAATTTTAATTAAAAATCCAGCAAATTAATACGATATCATTTAATATTTAATAACCATGAAACTAGGAAGAACTTGACATCAAATTTGAAAGATTATCAATAGAAATACGAGACGACACTTCTAATGTACTTTATTCCACTGAAAATTGCAAGCAGAACGTGAAAATTGTTGTCATGCATTGATTACGGTACTTCTAATCCCAGGCAAAACAACATGAAATTCTATTTCACCAAACTAAATATAGATGGGATATTGTAAATATCATAAAAGCTTGGAATTAGATGACTACTTTGAAGATTGGATACGTAAACAGCTACAGGACAAGGAGTCAAGGACAGAGTAATTCCTTTTTCAAAACAAAAAGTAAAATAGAAACCCAAATTGAGCAAAATGACCTTTGACGTCCTCAAAATACAATGCTGGTCACCTACAATATGTTATTTAATGAAGTTATATAAGAATTAAGATAATAAATAGAAATCACAGTGTAATTAGCTAAATGCAAGATTAAAATCATGCACTCGAGTAATAGATAAGTGCAAATGTAACTAACAAAGTTCATACCTAAAGCACGCTTTTAAGGAAAACAAAGCCTATGTGAACAAACCTATTGCCAGGATTGATGGCTGCATCAGTTTGAATACCGCCTCCAATTGTGACTCCAGCTTGACTAAAAATGTCACGATTAAGCCCGCTTATAACCCCAACCGTAAGAGTATGGTCAAAACCAAAGGGATTTCCAATTGCTAAACATTGCTGACCAACTTTAAGAACAGATGATTGTCCCAATTTAATTGGCTTCAGTAGATCTTTAGGAGCTTCAATCTGTAACATAATAATGACATAAAAAAATAGTTCAATAATGAAAAGAATTCTATAAAAATAAACACGAGCAAAGAGAGAAAATATCAGCAATTGTTCATGCTTTTTTTATACAAAAAAGCACTAGAATTTATACATCACCACCGGATCATTCTCAGAGACTGTACAAGATAACAACAATATCAAGGCTTTATCCTACTACATGGGATGGGTTACATGAATCTTTTTTCTCCATTATGTCTGCTGAGAGTCAAATTCTCATTTAAGAGACTGTACATGACAACTTAAACAAAATAACTTGAATTGCACTGGTTTTAGCAGAGCAAAAATATCAGAAAAAAACAAGAATTTCACTGGTCTAGCAGAGCGCACAGATTTCTGGTTGTAAAAAAAATTGTGTTTGTAGAAGGGGGAGTGATGGTGTTCCAAACGAAACCTAGGAGTCGACATAAATGTGTATCCCAATTTGTCCCACTAGCCTACAAAAAAAAAAGTGAAGGCTTATCTTTCAGTTGGCTTCTTAAAACGAGACATTAAATATTGTTGGTGGTGTCAAAAAAATTAACATATCAGAGGTTGGCAAGGAGCTGTTAAGTTGTTCCACTGTGATTGAGAAGGACACGTGTACAAATACAAAAAAAACACCTGCTATTGGGGGTTGAGGCTAAATCCATTGTCCCCATGCAAAAAAGTACAACCTTTTTTTGATGATTCGGAAAATAACAGAATTTTAAAGGAAGTTAATTGCTTTCTCTGATATCAGCATAAAATATTATAACTTGATTTTGATGAATAAAACTGTAAAGTTTATAGTCTCAATGGTTGAAGACCTACATCATATATAGTCAAACTCTAGAAAGAGAAAACAACCTTACTAGCCTAGATAGTATATGCTTCCGGGGTATTTGGAAAGATGCTAGTCGTTCTTCTAAAGAAAAAGGTTCTTGATTGCTATTTTGAACGCACAACGTGACAATGGAGCATGTTTCTGCTCACACTGGTTGACCCAATTTACAGTTCAAAAGGGCATTCCAATTGCTGACCTTGTGAGTTGATATGGTCTAGCCCATAAGAGTTATCAACAAGAAGCCAATAAAAAGCAAAATGGCTCATGGAACCCCATAACAACAACAATATCAAGCCTTTGTCCCACTGCGTGGGGTCGGCTACATGAATCTTTTTTCTCCATTGTGTACTGTTAAAAATCAAATTCTCGTTTAAATCTAATAAAGAAATATCATTTCTAATATTTTCTAACCAAGTCTTTTTAGGTTTACCTCAACCTTTCTTAACATAAGTCAAATCTAATACCTCTATTTTCCTAACCGGGTCATCGAAAGGCCGCCGTTTTATATGACCAAACCATCTAAGGCAACTCTCTCTAATCTTATCTTCCACTGGAGTTACTCCAACCTTTTCATGTACATGCTCATTTCGTATCCTGTGTCTAAGGGTAAAGTCATTCATCCACCTGAGCATTCTCATCTTTGCAACACTTTACTTAGTATTATGCTTCTCTTTTAATGGCCAACATTCAACACCATAAAGCATTGTAGATCTCACCACCATCTTATAGAATTTTATCTTAAGTTTGATGGGGACTTTTCTATCACACAACAAGCCCGATGCAATCCTCCACTTCAACCATTCAACTTGAATTCTGCTGATAATATCCCCATCTATTTCACCATCACTCTAAAAAATAGATCCAAGATATCTAAAACGTGTATTCTTTGTGGGATCCGAAAATTCCATTTAGTGTGATCCCGGCCTCTCCACGCCATCCGTCTATTTTTCTTTTATTTTTATGTTGTGTGAAGATGACGGTAGAGAGTTTTAACGAGATTAGGTTCCGGGGAAATTTTCAGAAGGCAGATTGGGTTTTAGATAAGACACTACCTATAAATTTCGCCCTCATTTTGTGAGGACTTTTTTATCTGAGTTTTAGTTTCCTATAGGCACAAGCCCCTATAGTTAATTACCCCTCCCGATAATAGGAGAGAACTTTCGATTAAGGCTAGTCATTAAGGAGGTCATATGGATCATAAATCCAGTGTATAATAACAACAATTTTAGGGTTTAAATTTTGAAATTTATCATTATGAACTTAAAACTAGCGGTGGGGGGGAATGAAGACGAGCCCGATCAAGATCCCATGGTTCCGTCGTCCCAGGCTGTCATGATCCCTGGTCTACTTAGTCAGAGGAGGTGGTCGACCCAACCTGACAGAAGGCATCTTGTCGGCAGCCATGGGTTGCTTCATCCAAGAATACCTTATAGACCTGGGTTGGTGTTTGTCTAAGGGGATATATCTAAATCCACCTTAGCTGACAGAGGAACAAATGGATTTATGCCCATCAAATATACCGTATGATCTATATCGCTCAAGGTTTGACGCCTTTAGGAGCATACGGGTTTGGCCTAATGATTCGAATATAATGAGTGCCATTTTGCCGGCAAAAACCACCGATCAGAGAGCACGTGCCACGTCCCTGTTGGCAAGAGACTATTTGAGGATGAATCAAAGTGATACACCCAACACACATTCGCTCTTTGTGAAGCTGAGATTAATTTCAATTTATCACCCCCAACAAACGGTTGCGCGGGAGGTGATTTTTTTTTAAGTTTCAGTTTTAAGGTTGATGTATTTTATTTCAAAGATTTTAAACTTTTATTAAATTTGAGATTTGACCCCTCCGGTTGAGATTTTCGATCAAACACGCCATCATCGGGTGACGTTAAGTGTCATTTGATTTTTGTAGGATTTTGGGAGGCATTTTATAAATTCAAGTTGTGTCGACTTCAGTCTTCCGATGAGGAAAACTTGAATATTAGACTCGCGCAGCATTCTCGAATCGTTGGATTGAGACTTAGATGAAATGAAATGGAGCCATATAGGTTATAGCATTTGCCCTGTGCAGCATTCTCGTCATTGGTTGTTTATGCTTATTAACAAGTTGACCGGAGCACATGTAGGATATATTTAGTTTTGCAAATTATAATGTTCTATTAGCGAGCATTTGACTTTAAAAGATTCATATTTAATACATACAGATGCATTTTAAAATATTTATATATGATTCATTTTATCAAGTGATTTTATTTAAGAAAAATGCCTGAGATTTAATTTAAGGGCCTATTGAATGCCTATGTCCGCTTGTACACATGTTGCGGATCCAGTGGCGTGGTGTTATTTGTTACTTCTTACAAATGAATTGTAATCCTTTCACATTTGTCCACAGTATCAACACGTTGAACATATAATGAGCCTCTTAATGGCTTGTAGGCTTTTACAATTATTGTAGTCATTTAATATCTTGTTCATACACGATATTTTGTGTGTATGACATATTTCCTTTATACGACATGTCGAGTGCATTGCAACTTGTTACATTTATTGCATGTCAAATTCAATCTCTATTTTATCATCATATGACATTGATATCAAAATATATATATGTAGATTTGTGAACTTCAATCTATTATAATCTTTCCAAATGTTATTAAACATCATAACCATGTTGAGAACAATACGATAAAAGATTTATTCTTCTCATTAGCCATCACTTCCTCCACCTTAACCATCATAAATATGCTAGATCTATGAAGTGGATTTTGTTTAAGTTGGTGAGTTAAATTAATTAAGAGACTTAGTGTTGAATTAAATGCTCTTAGTAATTTAGGATTTTGATTCAATTAATTAATTCCAAGTTATTTTTCCAATCTTCCAAAATTTGGCTAAGTCTTGAATTTCTGAGTAAATTCAGCAGCCTCCGCATCCCCTCCCCGGCGCCGGGAGGTAAAGAGTGCTCGACTCGACCGGAGCGAATCAACGACGAGGAGATTGAGTCTTCAGAAGCTTTGATGATCATCGATTGCAAATCGAATGGTTGTCAATGCTTGGGGGACATCGTAGTTGATTATCGATGCTTGATTGGAGATCGTAGTTGATTGCCGATTGAGACGATTGCTTGTTGCCGGTTGATTGTGTCAATTGATTAAATAAAATTAATTGAAATTAAATTTTAATTTAATAATTAAATTTAATTAATTCCAAATTATGTTAATACACATTCCTCCAATCTTTAAAAATTTGGCTAAGTCCCAAAATTTTGAGAAAATTTCGGCAGTCTTCTGACGTCCCCTCCCCAGCACCGGGAGGTAAGGAGGGCATTTGCCCTTTCAATTCCGCCAGGCCGGAGCGAATCGACGGCCGAGCCGCTTCGAGGGTTGACAGGCCCCGGAATTGATCTTATAGAGCCACTCCAAATCTATTATCTTTGATTATATATTATATATATCACTATATAATATATATAATATTATATATATCTATATTAATATATGTATATAAGAAAAATAAAAGAAAGAAAGGCAAAAATCGGGGAAGGAGAGAGCCCGATTGGGCAGAACCACGCACTAACGAGCATCGGGGCCTTGGTCGGTCGGAGGCAGGTCGGAGCAGGTGAGTTCGGCGGCGGGTCGGCAGCTTGGAGTCGGTGCTTGAGTCGCCGGTGGGATGAAGGAGGAGGGAAGAGGCAGAAGACACAGGCTAGGGGCTCGGGTTCAGGCAAAGGTCATGGGCGGATCCCATGTAGTTGAGGGGGGGCAAAATGACCCCCCTCAAATTTTTTTTTAATTTGTGAGATATTTTGAAATAATTTTTGAGTATTTTGAGTATTTGCCCGCCCTCTTAAAAAAATTTTTTTGGCCTCAGATTTAATCAATCCTAGCATCTTTGCCCATCCTCTCACAAAAAAAATTTTTTTTGCCCCTGAAAAAAGAAGCTGGATCCGCCCTGGGCACGGTGTCGACGTTGGAGATGGAGGCAGGGAAGGATGTCGGCATGTAGAAGAGAACCGGCGAGGTTGGATGCCTTCAGGGCCTTGGAGAAAAGGGTGCTGGTATGGCGGTCTGGAGGAGATGCGGTCGAAGACGGTGCAGTTCGATCGTCGAGCGAGAGCACTGTAAGTTTCCCGAAATCTTCTTTCCTCTTTGCTTGCGATTCTGAGAGCGTCTGTATGTGTGAGTCCCTGTGTGCGTGAGAGCTGAATGAGAGGAGGAATCTATTTTGTTTCGTGAGGAGCGACGGTTGTGCGATCGTGGGCGGTTTCGGGGGGGGGGGGGGGGGGGGGGGAATATCATCAGTCTTAGGTAAAATACGTTGGTCAAAACCACAAGCATAAGCAAAAAACATACACCAAGGTACATCCTTTTGCAAATGTCTAGTGAGAACATCTATGACTAAAGCAAAAAGATATGGGCTTAAGACTGATCCTTGATGTAATCCAACCGAAATAGGAAAATACTTGGTCAAACCACCTTGTCTTTGAACACAAGTAATAGCTCCTGCATACATATCTTTAATGATTTGAATATAAGCATTATTAACTCCTTTCTTTTCAAGAACTCTCCATAGCACTTCTCTTGGAAATTTATCATATGCTCTCTAACTCAATAAATATCATATGTAGATCCTCCTTATTCTCTCTATACTTCTCCATCAAACATCTCAATAAATGTATGGCTTCTATAGTAGACCTACCCGTCATGAATCAAAATTGATTTAGAGAAACATTAGTATCACGCCGCAACCTGCGCTCCATAACTCGCTCCCATAGTTTTAAAGTATGACGCATTAGCTTAATTCCTTTATAATTCTCACAATCTTGTGCATCACCTTTTTTTCTGAAAAATAGAAATTAACACACTAATTCTCCACTCATCTTACATCTTTTTAGTTTTCAAAATAATAATAAAATGTTTAGTAAGCCAAGAAATTCCTTCATCTCCTAAGCATTTCCTCACCTCTATTGGAATATCATCAAGTTCAAAGCTTTTCCACACTTCATTTTCTTTAAAACCTCTCTAACTTCGATTTTACTAATACGCCGATAAGAACAGAAATCTTTATATACATTTAGGTTCTAAGGTCACTAAAGTCAATCGTATTTTCACATTCTTCATTAAAAATTTTAGCAAAATATCTTATCCACCTTTGTTGAATATCATCTTCTAAAAAAATATATTTTTTGATCTTTATCCTTAATATACTTCACTTGAACTAAATCCTTAATACTATCTGTTTATTTGGCTAACTTATACATATATCTTTCCCCCTCCTTAATATCTAATATATTATATAAATCATTAAAAACTAAGATATTTGCATCGCATATTGCTTTCTTAGATTCCTTACGTGTCTCTTTATATCTTTCCAAATTATCAAAAATTTTACATCTAAACTAATTTTTATAACAAATCTTCTTTTTTTTATCTTTTCTTGCACATTTGGATTCCACCACCAACTATTTTTACTATTAGGAGATTTTCCCTTTGATAATTTAATCACATCTTTTGCAATACTCTCAAAACAACCTTGTAAGATAACGTCACATGCAAATCACAAAAAAAAAAAAATTGTGCTCAAAGGAAAAAACAAACCAGTGGTTCGCCACAGAAATTATGATCCAGCTCAAGTCGGCGCTCCTCCAGCAAATACCAACAAACGGGGCACAACAACACCTTACACTTATAATATTTGGAGAAGAAAGATACAAGTGGAAGGGAAACTGTGAAGAGAAGAAATAGATAGAAGATCAAGAAAAAGAAATAGGTCTAGGAAGAAGATAGCTCTCAAGCTAGGAAGAAATCCTCAGATTTGGATTTGTTTTCACCCACAAAAACCTTTTCGAGCAGCAAATCAACCATATTATATAGAAGAAAAAAAATTATAATTTCCCACTTAAATGTGCCACCCAGATAGCCAATAGAAGCCAATCAAGACAACCACTTAATGAGAAGATAAAACACTAGTCTAGGAATTAGCAAGGAGGGGAGTTGAACAGCCAGCAGCAGGGAAACTGAAGCCCAGTTGGGAAAACCAAGGGCTAACAAGGAAATCGAAGCCAGCATGGAAAACCAACACCAGGGAAATACCAAGCAGCCAACCAACATGGGAAGAAATGGGCCAAGCCCAATAAGGAAAAACAACCCAAAATTAAATACCCATTTAGCCACCAAGAAACAAGGAAGCAAATTCAACATAAGTGGAAAGCCAATGAAGTGAAATTACCAAAGAGCACCAAACCCAAACATGATCATGTGTTGATTTCCATCATAGGGCAACACAAAACATAACCTATAAAAAACATGGTCCAAAATTACATAGCATTGAAGTCTAACAACAAACCTCAGATGTTTTAAACTTATCAAGTACGATAAATTCAGTGTTGAGTAAAGCTAACAAAGACCTAAAGTCAAGTCAATTCAATTGAATTAATCAATTCTTGGATCTTGGCATTAGCAGCGACATGACACATGACCACCAAACAAATGACTTGCTTGATTAAAATGGCATTATTATATTATAGTTAAAGCCCAAGCCCAAATGTTCTCTAATAGTTAGACAAATAAATCTTTGTTTTACTCACTACATGTGATGAGGCACCAACTCCTCTATCAACCAAAGTTCACTATAAATTAGTCTCCTTGATATCGCATCATACAACCCACTTCTCCATGATGGGTGCACTCAAAGCAAATCTCAAATTGAAGAAAATTTTAGAGCCAAATCCAATCCTCCATCAACCTATCCCCAAAAAAAAAAACAAAAAAGTACATAAATCCCAAAAGCCTGCAAAAAAAAAAAAAAAAAAATCTGCTCAAGCTCAGAGAAACCACCCATCCAACACTTGCCACAGTTTTAAAAGGAGAAATATTTAAAGCTCAACTACAACACAGAAAACAACCAATGGCAAATCAAAGTCCATCACCCTCAAAAATTCCAAATAAATAAAGACATGGCATGCCAGGTTGACCAGATGCTTAGCTTGATTACAATGACACCGCTATATTACGATTAAGGACCAACTCGAATGTTCCTTCGTGGTTAAAGTTTATGATTAATAAATTGAGTGGGGCACTCAATTGCGTACAAAACTCATTGTTACCCAAAGGTGGCCATGAAATTGTGGCCCTTTTGGCAAAGCTTCCCCCAATCCATGAAGAGGTCTCATTCGATGAAGTAACCCATTGTTGTCGACAAAGAACATCCAATAAGGTTGAGTAGATTGCCATGTATAACTAAATAGATCATACTTCTGTTATGATGATAAAACTATGTGCTATTGGCTATGTTTGAATTCATTTTACCCTGCCATCTCCTCTGAGCCTATAAAAGACATATTTCTCTCCTTAAACTATCAAAGCAAGTCAGATCGTAAAAGACGCCATCATAGCTGGTCAGACCGTATGGAAAGCCATATATGTGAATCGTTAGTGCCTAAAAATTAATCTTAATCAAAAGTTCTTTCAAACAAGCAAAATGGATACTTAATTTTGGGCCATAAAAGAACAATAAATTCAGAATATAATATCTCAAGTAAAGGTGAAATCTTTAAGTGATGTTTTATCTGATAAAAAATATGTTTATTGGAAAAAAAAACTAATTCCTTCCTCAATCGCACAAACTAAAGGCATCCTTTTAGAGACCACAATAATATTGTGCAATGTGTCAGGGGGGTGGGAGAAGGAATAGGATACAAGTTATTCAGAAAAGTTTGCATAAACAGAATCATACAATTGTAACACCTAAACTATGGAGTGATAAAAAATATTCATACATAAAGATAAAGGTGTTTAGGCTGCTGATTAGATTAGCAAGCTATTCAAAGATATCTGGTTCACGAAACAATCAAACTTTAGGGAATTTGAACCTCTTTTGGACAAAAGAAAAAAAATAAACTGCTTATAGTCAAGCTGAGGAACTTAATATAAAACTTAAAAGGTAGTAAGATCCTGCCTCTGATAAGGCCTGTATGTCACTGCTGAGCTGATACTTTTTGAGCATACAGAATGAACCAAATATTCAGAAAAATAATCACCTTTAAGACAGCAAGATCCTTGGCACGATCTGCACCTACCAGCTTTCCCTCAAAATTCTTTTGTATTCTTTCAAGTTATCCACAATACAACATAAGGTAATATCAAACAAATACACAAATGCATGCTTAACTATTGTTAAAACTTGATTTGATTTATAAATTTCGAGCAGATAACTCACCCTTCAGAAGTAAGAATGTTGACGCGGGCAACAACTTGATATGGAACTGGGTTCCTTGATAGAGCATTGCCAACCACTAGAAATATTGACCAGCAAGAATAAAAAAATATTTAAATATATATCATAAAAATGTGTTGACTTTAAAACGACATTTAGAGCAAGAAAAAGCACATGGTTGAAAACACAAACCCATAAAATGCCTAGATACTCGCAAACTCAATGATTACATTATAAATTGGATATCCAAGAAACTAATTTGGGGACTCTTACCATGGTAATTTGTCACTACATGTCCAGTATCATCCCATACTACACCAGAACCATTTCCTTCGGGCACCTGCAATTATTTGTGCTCAAGAAACAACAATTTATTAATTTAAGACATCCAGCATAAAGCAACTAAAAGCTATGATGATGATGCTCTGTTTATATTAATTCTGGTTGATAAGTGAATAAATGTTACCCAATACAAAAGAATTCAAGAATCAAAGGCACACAAAAAATAACTATAAATGCATAATTCATACCTCAACTACACCAGTCACATTAAGTTGTGGTCGTAAGGTAACATCAAAAATGTTAACAACAGAGTATGTGTTTTTCTCAAAAAGTTGTACCGTTCGTCCCTGTAATTTAAACAAGGAATCAGGTCATCCATACAGATATAAATCAGCAAAGACCTTGTAGAAGGCCTCAGCAGCGAGAACATCAACTTCAGAGAACTAATAATATAAGAAAAAGTTCAGACCTCAGAAGGAAAGAGAGGACCAGAGGAAAAAACAGGAGGGGTCACTTCCTCAATGGTGACAGTGGTATCCCCTAAAGCAATCACTGGAAACAACCACTAATAATTTAGAACAAATACAATTACAAACAACCAATGTTTTTGAACTGGTTAGCCTGTTAACATGCCTACGCTATAATCTAAGAAGTAGAATCATTGGGCAAGCAACTGAGATGTTAATAAAGTAAACGATAATTTTCAAACTACAAGAGGGAACCTCGTACATTTTCATTTTCAAATATTACAAATATAGCATATATATATATACGCATATTTAAGTTTTGAAGTAAATATAAATATGGTTTAAATCTCAATAAAACATGAATTACACAACAAATGACCAGTAACATAGTTAATCTACAAGCATAAGGCTTCTTTAGGTAGTACCATGTTGTGGCTATGCTACCTTGTGTTGTAAGAAATAAAGTCACGACTACTCTAGTAGGAATGGACAAATTGTTATGCATGTGGATTGCCATGATAGTAAAGCCATCTAGGAGATGCACATGCTTTATACTAGCTTTCCTATGCATGCTCCTAGCACCAATCAAAATTATGATTTCAAGTTTTTCAAAAACAAAATGGCCAAAAGGTAATGACAAACAAAGAATAAGATAAAAACAGTTTTGAAGCCCCAAATCAGAGCTCAACTACCAAACTAACATAATTTCCTAGGCATGTATAATTAGATTTTAGTGTGTTGGAAAAAGTAACTTTTAAAAACTAAATGAATCGCTAAAAATAGTAAAATAGTAGTTATCTCATACGGAATCACATTGAGCCCGATGTAAAAGGAATTTTGAAATTTAAGCTTAAATATCAATTTAAATAAACATTTTATACTTAGTTACAAATCAACTACCAAATAATATCAATAACATACTAAGATCTAAATTTGTTCAGGTCATGAAAATAGTTTCACCGCACAAAAATATATGCATTCAAATAGAAGTGTAAAAAACAAACAAAATAAAGAAGTAAACCATGATACTCATACTATAGTAAGTGTTAAAAACAATAGGTGAAAAAAGCTAAAGAATGAAACTATAAATTATGGGCCATGTAATCAAGAGTAGGACACACATGAAATAGAAGTTCAGAATTTAGAGGAGACATTAATCTTAAGTTGATAAATCATAAGCCTTTGACACTTTTGGGTTAAGGCACAAGCTTCAAGATCAAAAACATAATGTTTAGGAATATATTAAGATTTAAGCCAAGATCTTTTGAACCCTTTAAAATAGTAGAAAAAACATTCATTCACCCATGGATAAAAAGATAAGACAAAAAACTCATTTATCATTTAAATTGATGGCAAGGCTACAAGATGGAAGGAACTTACAAGTTATTTCTTCCAATTTATGAGTATCTCATGGGCTATGACCAATCCATTTAAAATTTATGAGCTACCCACTCACAATTTTTGTCTTCATGTGCATCTATTGTTGACTGATGCAATATGTTACAATACCCGGGATGAACATTCGTATATTACAACCAAGTGTTTCACTCATGACAAAGAACAAGGAAAACTACTATACCAACTAAGATAACTCTCCCAAAATGCATTTAAAAACAATCTAAATGAGCTAAGTGCTCAGTAAGTTGCCTGAAGTTGAAAAGCATGTTTGAAGACATGACGAATTAACTATATTCCATCATTTATGTTGATGTGCATATAAATCAATATTGGATTTAAACTCTACAACCTTCATTAGAGTGATGATTTTATTTTCACACTTAAAATCTTTGAAAACAAAATCTTTATTTTCTAAAACATGTTTCACGTCTTCATACAACCAAATGAACCCTAAGATTAAGGGTGTCAAAATAAGTTTTGGGGTTAGGTTCGAGTCCAACCTGAAACTGATCTACCTTCAACTGATTCAACCCGAACTCGACCCGATTATACAAACGGGTCAGAAATTCAAACCAGTACCCAACCCGTCGGGTTATTGGTTACCCGCTAACCCACGAGTACGAGCAGCAGGCGAGCATCAAGAGCAGCCAGTGATGTGAGTTGGAATGAGCTACTGTGGGAGAGGGGGAACCGCACGGTGCTTGATTGCGCTAGTGGGTGAGGGCGTGGCCACGAGCGGGCAAGAGGGCGAGCGATGCTGCTGTGCAAGCACGGGTGCGAGTCTGCAAGGATGCGAGCCGAGCGCGGGCTGCAGTGCAAGTCTATAGGTTGTAGGAACCAGGGGCGAGGCTGGAAAGCGTGACGCGGTGCGGGATGATGGACAAATTCGTGTCATTTTTGAGTTAGCGTGTTGACTCGGAGACGAACCAATTTTTTCAAACGGGACAACAATTAAGACCCGAACCTGGATTTTCCAGCTCAAATTCGAGTCAGGTTTTGTGCCATATTATTAATTGACACCCCTACCTAAGATTGATATACCCCTTGTACTGAATTCATTACATCAATTTAAAGTTTAAAAGAATGTCAATGAGAACTCCAATGTGGTTTGACAAGAAAAGACTATAAAAATGTAATCAAAGAGAATGATTAAAGCAAAATTTATTCTTCGCCCGACTTAAAGTGACATTTGAAAGAAGCACGGCGATGAATAGTGCCGACCTGAAAAGTACCTTGAAGAATTCAAGTAGAGGCATATAGCTGGACTGGAAAAAAGCACTCGGCGTGTAATGGAAGGAATGATATTCCTCGATACTTCCCCTAGATGAATTGTAATTGACCTGTGCATTTGACATAAACAACAAGATAAGTTAATCATTAAAAATAAATGAAAAAAAAAAATAAAGACTAGACAACTTCAATATAAATAAAATTTTATATTGATAAAGATGAGTAATATATGCAAGTGCTTCAAGATAGAACTTATTCAACAAATGACATAATATTTTGTGATATTACTGCCTTTTATCACAAGAAGGAATGGAAGTGACTTGTCAATGGGTCAAGGATGATAAAAAAGAGTGAAAACCATGTGCTATAAAAGAGTTAGTTCCTGTTTTATCAGTAATCTTTGACTAAGCTGCTCTTTCATGATTATATTGATGGCCAAAAGCATATATCAAAAGTTTACAAGAAAGTTTAATATGTTACCTATTGCTCACTATAATATAGATTGTGCAGAAACTCGGTATGTCCAGCTGCGTGTAGTACAATATATTTGATGATTGGCATTTCAGTTGGGTGCTATTCTAAATGTTGGCTTGATTTGCTAGGCCCAACTTAGCCACCCTAGGAAACTTAGATTGATGCTCTCTTCTACAAGTGGAACTCCTAAAAAGGTGGCCTCATTTGAGGGTCACAAGAGATTTTTTTGGGAAAAGTGAGTGATTTAGTTTACCATCTAACATTTGTTTGCCTTGAATAGAAGTATCCATTTTATTTGTCATGCTTCTTATTCTGCACACATATTCTTGGGGCTATATTGTTTAGATTGGGTCCTCCTGTTTTGATTTTCTTCAGTGGATTTCATTGGCTTCGTTTGCAGCCCTTACTCTCCTTCCACATCCACTTAATTTTAGTACTTACTTCTCCAAGGATTTATTTTGCTTGAAACTGTAATATTTCTTAATTTAAAATAAATTGATATTTATTGAGTTCGATGTAGCTAGTGGTGATTGATCCTAAATGTGGGTTTAATGAAATTGGATTGGATGTGCTTCTAACTAACGTATAAGGCTTCACGTGGGTTATGAACCACTTTATCTATACAGCAAACTCAACGTACCATATCACGCGGTTCCCACAACAAATCACCTATGCGCTCAAAATTCTTTGATTATCTATGATTTACATAACCATTCCAATACCTCCAAAATCATATTAGGTGATTAACACTGAGAAATAACATCATACTTAACAATGGAAAGATGTAACAAAAGGAATACAATGCATTTGATAGAAGAAATAGACTCATAAATCTATAAAACTATTAAAAAAGGCCTCGGATTCCACCTGGATAAAATATCAACAAATTTATCGATTTCAATGAGTAGATCTCCAATGAAATTTAAATGTCAGTTAAAATATTCTCCCACAATCAATCAGGTAAATAAATACTATTAGTTTGTTTCTTCATTGCAATCCTTTGATTATTATTTTTCGTTGGCTTGCTATAATAACTTCTTTTTTTAGGCCTCTTGTTGTGTGATAATTAATATACTTCAAGTAAGAAAATCAAGAGTTGCATATTTAAATCAAAGCTTCTCTCTAAATACTTCAAATTATTTTTCACTTGGCACTTTTGATTGTATTTATGCACTAGAAATTCTTTTTACAGATACATCATACAACAACAACATCAAGCCTTTAAATTGATTATATCATGCACGATCATCATATAATAATTTAAGAATACAAATTATTAAAGTATACTAAATTTTAATAAATATATCACATGCAATTGCATTTTCACTAGTATTTTTAAGGAATAATAACAACTAAATGTTACCACTAATTGGCGTTGGAATATTCCCAACTTCGTCAAGAACATACTTTTGAAGTGAAGATGACAGAGAAGCCTCATCCGCAGTCAGATTAGATGTCGTCTTAATACGAGAACAGCCCGAAAAGGCCCCTTCCAAGACCTCGCGCCGGCCGTAGCGCCTGGGATCTCGGAACCCGTAGCGGAGTGGAGGATTGGAAGCTAAAACGTGCATTCCTTCGAAGAAAGCTGCCAGAGTCTGCAGACACACGAGTTACAGAGAGCTAAATACAAGAAGTAGAGCTCGAAGAAATATTTTGGAAAGACGAGATAGAGAAACCTACATTGGTCGGGGAAGTTGGAGAGCGCGGAATGAACTGTCCCCAGTCACCACCCATCTGTGGTGGGAAAATGGATTGTTTAAAGTCTAATGACGGATTTACCCCAACATCCTTCTCGTCTAGGAAGCATAAATTAATGAAAAAAATTTATGATATAAATTATACAAATGAAAAATACGAGTGACATATTCAGGAACTTTTATTTGGTCTGTCACAGGATGTAGCTCTGCGTTCGACCGCCAGTAGAATCACGCCACGCGTTCTCATTATTTACCGCACACCCTGACAACCCGACCCGGAACGGACCCAGGATGGCTCGATATTTCTCGATTTTGCTAGGTATTGGTCAATTTTGCTCGGCAATAACCAATACCGAGCAATATCGAGCAAATACCGAGTAATACCGAGCAAACTCGGTACAACTCGGTATTCCTTGGTATTACTCGGTATTGGTCTTCACAGAGCGGTATTTCTCGTTATTGCCGAGCAATACCGAGTAATACCTCGCAATACGCGAACATAGCATTCCCGAGTTCCGGTCCAGGTCATGTCGTCGGGCCGCGCGGTAAAGAGTAAGAGCACGTGGCGACATGTTATTGGTGGCTGAACGTAGCTCTACGTCCGATCAGAGGACATAGTAATTGCCCCATATTCAGATATTAAAATTATTTAGAGATGGCAGTTATGAATTATTAATGATTTATGTGTTAGATATATAAATAGCATGATTGAATTTACGTACATACCATTTTATATCGAGTTATTTATATATCTAATATCCAAATATTTAATATTTTATGTCTATCATCCATAGATTAAATACGAGTGTACGAAATAAAATATTAAAATTTATAGGGTGATATGAATGATATGAATGAAATACAATAGTAACATATTTGATATTAAAATTATTTATGAGTGGTGGGTATAAAATATTAAACATTTAAGTGTTAGATATGTAAATAGTATGATATAAAGTGATATGTCTTTAAATCCCCAATTTTCTTTAATTTGATTTTTCAATGCCCTCTAATTTTCTAGCTCTTCGAATAAATTCTTGTCTTATTTATGATTTCCCTGCTAAAACTAAAAGTGATATATAACAATGAAAACAAACATATAGATAAGAATAAAATAGAAAAAAATAAAAAAAGTTCTCCTAAGATATGACTCAAATGCTTGAATCTCACACTTACCACTTATTCAACCAATGACGTAATAATAGCATAATTATTCCATATCATGAAAATGTAGAATCCAAAACAACAAAAACCTCATTTATTTGACCACACAAATGATGATATGATTTGCCCCTTTTACAAGGAGAATAAGGATTATTACTTTGTAGTTGTTTAGTTTTGAGTAAAATAAGTGCAAAATAAAACTTTGAGGGATTTGGAATACCCACATTAAATTATTTATGGGTAATTTAAATTTTCTGAAACCAAACAAATTTAGATTATACTAATCTATGCAACCTACCCCCCCCTCCCCTAATTTATGTGTGCACTATGTTCATCTTCCATAAGGACCATAAATATTTAAGGAAAAAAATTCACTTACTTATTTGTTATATATACTTTTGATATTTTATTTTATGTAGCTTTTATAAATGATTGACATAATAAATTTTTTAATCTAATAGCTGTCATCAAGTGCTTGAGGTGTAGTTATGATGGTGTACCTATTGTTGCATAAGCTCAATTGAAAACACTAGTTCAAATTACTTAGTCTATTTATGATTGTTAAAATATCGAGCACTTGTGGATTCATAGGATCCAAAAATTTATCTATTTTGATGATGACATATATATGTTAGAAATTTATAAATCATAAGATAGATTTTAAACCATGAACCCTCCCAATAATGATAAGCATGAATATAACAAAAAAATTGCATTAAAAATAATATTCATGAGTAACAAGTTATCGCTAGCGTAAAAAATATTTGCAAGATTTGAACTTAATCTTAAGACTGTAGTTTTCACTAAAAGAAAAAAAAAATTATAAACACAATTCATAGTTCTTATTGCATGCTAGAAAATTTGAGTCGGCATAATGTATATTTTATGTCTTAGCATTGTATAAAGATTTAGCACGAAGAGATAAAAATAGCAGTAAAATCAGAGAACTTCTTACGTGGAAAATCCGAAAAGGGAAAAAATCATAAGGCATAGCCCAATTGCAAAATTCACTATGTTGAAAGTGATATAAAAGTTCTCCTTTTCTTCATTGTTGTGGAAGAGGGAAAGTACATAAATTTAGTATCATTAGATGGACAGTTAATGCTTAACAACAAGGCTTAATTTTCCCAATAGATAATATAAAAAGGAGATGTCTGCGGGTGGATAAATGCAACCAACTCTGTTCAGGAGAGGGCGGTAACTTCAGATGTTGATCTTCGATGATGATGGTGGTTGTCGGTGACAATAGTTAGTGGTCGTCGATGATAACGATAGCTAAAAATTGCTATAGAGTTCTTCATTATTTTCTCTTTTTTCTCCCCCCCTCCATGTGAAGAATGACGGATTATTTATAGTTTTTTTGTAGTGACATATTGTCACACTCCATGATTTATATTAAAAGAATTGCATATGTCTTTTATTTTAACCATTTAACTAGAGCTTATCATCAAAAAGTAGAAAGAAACATGATTGTGTTTTGTCTGAAACTACAGGTAGAAAAATTATGCATGTTACCTGTATCCTCAAATCATATGATCCTTACTCTTTCTTGAAAACATGGAAACCATGTAATTAGCATATAGCCTAATAAGTAACTAAAATCTTACAACTGAAATCAATTCAAGATAAAAGAGAACAATATGTTATAAATCATATAAAGAAATATATGCATCAATGTCTATACTGATTATTTGTATCAATTTATTATTCTATAGTTCATCACATCTCAATTCATTACATCATACATAAATTTATTTAAAATGTAATAAAATCATATCAAATCATTCAAAATGATCAAATCTATAACATATTCAAACTTGTAAGGTAAAAACTTTTGAAATTAGAAGATAATGCATTTTTAATAGATTTATGAGAGATAAAATTCGTAGAAATCAAAATTATTGAAAACAGAAGAAAAATATTAGTCACTTATAATAAATAAAATAAAATTTGAAACATAAATGGCTAAAAAATATGATAAAAAAATATTTCTCTATCCTCTCTTTTCTTCCCCTCTTTTAAATTATTCCTGGCCAAACAACTAAGTGAAGGAGTAAGTGGAGTGAGAAAGAGATATTTATAATATTGTTCATGGCCTAGCGCCATAACATTCACCAGATAAGTGTCAAAGCGCTCTATTTTAGAATTTTCATGTTTATTAAATAAATTTATTTCACATATTTGAGTTATTACACATACTTCATAAATATGGAGAGAATAGTGTACCCCATCAAATGGTCTATATTGACTCTTTAATCATAGAGCTTTCATCTAGCATTTATGTGCCTTATGATGTTAGAATTGAGTGATATTCGGCTCGTCAAATTCGCCTTTTTGAGCCACTCGGTTTGACTATAAGTATGTCATATTTGGAGATTATTTGATTACTCAATTAATACTTTAAAGCTTCCAAGTATGCTTAAGTCCCTTGATCCATGCTCATTTGGACTCAGATTATACTTATTTTGGTGTCATTGGATTCATCTTGTTGAGGCATTCATTTTGATTATAAGTTTTCTATGATCAGAATTTGGATGATCCCAATTTTAATTTTAACAACTTTCAATTCAAATATACTTGAGATTAGTGCATAATCAACGTGACTTTTGGCGACGTATCAGTTCTATTCCCCCACACTAATTCTTTCTCTCCCATGCTAATCTTTTCTCCCATTACTATAATCTCTCTTCCCCTTTACTTCCCCTCTATCACAATGATATGGAGGTTACAAGAAAATTAATAAGAAATGCACTTCAAAATTTTCACAATCATTACTTTTTATTCTTGTTGTTTTGCAAAGAAGAGACAGAGTTATTGCAAAAAATAGTATTTTTGTATTAGACCAAGCCTTCTTTCATGAAAATAGTATTTAATAAATTTCTCATCCCTTATTCTAATTGTCTTCAAATTTTATGGGTCAATTAACTTATCAACCGAGCATTAGCAAATCAGTAGCTTTGATTAGTGTAGGGAGAAATTTGGTTCATTTGCTTGTTTATTATTAACTCTACACATCAAAGAATGTGCAATGTCTTCATCTAATAATCTTTCAAAAAAGAGAGCGACATTTGACGGTGAGCAAGGATGACGATTTGATGACATGAAAGCAATTGGTAGGCTTAGTGGTGTTGAGCATCATAATCAAAATTAGAACATATGATTTGTATTGTTCACATTTAGGTTTTGTTTGGGACGACATTCTTATTGCTTCATAAAACAGTAAAAAGTCATCACAAACAAAACTTTAAATTCAAATTTAGGCTTGTCCAAACTCTTTTTTATATATGCATGCATTTCATGTGTTAAAATGGTTGTCTTACTGCATTATCTTTAACAAATGAATAAGATGAATTTTCTTTTGGTCATACACATTACAAGATTTGTAATTTTATTTGTATTTTTAAATTTAATTTGAGCACATACTCTCAATTGCTAAAAAAAAAAAAAAAACTAAAATGAAATAGGAAAAGAATTGACTTAACCCGTTCTCCTGGTCTGTCTTCCTCTATACCCTCAGCAATGAACTGCTCACTTGTTCTCTCGCTCGCCATCTTTTTAATCCCAAAGCTCTAACATATAGCTCCAATGGCCTCCTCTCTTGCCCGAGGTCGCAATTCTATTTCAAAGCTCAGACCTATTTTCCTCCCAGCTCATCTCCTCGTTCGCCCGCCACAGCCGCACCCCCCCCCCCCCCCCCCCGCCACAGCCGCACCCCGTGCCCCCGTTAGGGCTTGGCTTCTACCCCCTTTCGTCCTCTTTTCTCTTTTCCCGATTCAGATTAAGTTCAGTGTTTGGCTACCAGTCCCTCTGTTTCTACACAATCTGCTCCTTCTCCTCGTCCTCATCGGAATCCAAGCCTGAGTTGAACCAGAACCCCGAAGCTGCTCCCTATAACCTGAATCCATCAGACGTCTACCGTGAGCTCCGCGCAGAGGACTCCTCCGAGAAGCTCAGCCGCGTTCAATGGGACTCCCTTGTCAAAATTTTTCGCTCTTTTGCCAAGTCTCCCTGGGTATCTGATCAGGTCCTCGCGGCGTACATTCCCTCTTCCTTCTTCCCCTCCGCCGCCCGCCGCTTTCGCTACTTTTTCCTCGACCGCTGCCCTCCCCGCGTCTTCCACCACCTTTCCTCACTCGGCCCCTCCCCCGAAGCTGACCGTTTCCTCCTCCCCATCTTCATTGACTACTGCCTCGAAGAATTCCCCGACGAGCTCCGCAGCTACAAATCCCTTATGGAATCCGCTGACATGACCGAACCTCACACTTGGTTTCCCTTCGCCCGCGCCATGAAGCGCAAAATCGTTTACCATTGCGGCCCAACCAACAGCGGCAAGACATACAACGCTCTTCAAAGTTTCATGGAGGCCAACAAGGGAGTCTACTGCAGTCCTCTTCGTCTTCTTGCCGTGGAAGTCTTTGACAAGGTGAATGCTTTAGGAGTTTATTGTAGTTTGCATACAGGGCAGGAGAAGAAAAGCGTTCCTTTTTCAAACCACGTTGCTTGTACAATAGAAATGGTCTCGACTGATGAACTCCATGACGTTGCTGTGATTGATGAGATTCAAATGATGGCAGACAAAACGAGAGGGTATGCCTGGACCAGGGCGCTTCTTGGTTTGAAAGCTGATGAGATTCATTTGTGTGGGGATCCCAGCGTCTTGAAGATTGTCAGGAAGATATGTAAAGAAACTGGGGATGAACTCAATGTGCATCATTATGCCCGATTTAAGCCATTGGTTGTTGAGGCAAAGACCCTTTTAGGGGAGTTGAAGAACGTCCAATCTGGAGACTGTATTGTGGCATTCTCAAGGAGAGAGATTTTTGAGGTGAAGTTGGCGATTGAGAAGTTTACAAAGCACAAGTGTTGTGTGATTTATGGTGCATTACCGCCAGAGACCAGGCGGCAGCAGGCTAACTTGTTTAATGATCAGGATAGCGCGCATGATGTTTTGGTAGCAAGTGATGCAGTTGGTATGGGGTTGAATCTCAATATTAGAAGGGTTGTTTTCTATTCTCTATCAAAGTACAATGGTGATAAGATGGTGCCAGTCCCTGCCTCACAGGTTAAGCAAATAGCTGGGCGAGCTGGAAGGAGAGGGAGCAGTTTTCCAGATGGGTTGGTGACCACTTTCATTTTAGATGATTTGGATTATTTGATTGAGTGCTTGAAGCAGCCTTTTGCAGAGGTAACCAAAGTTGGTCTCTTTCCATTTTTCGAGCAGGTGGAGTTGTTCTCCGCGCAATTCGCTAATATTACTTTCTGTAAATTACTGGACAAGTTTAGAGATACCTGCCGCCTTGATGGATCGTACTTCTTATGCCAGCATGAGAATGTGAAGAAAGTTGCGAACATGCTGGAGAAGGTGCAGGATTTATCTCTCGAAGAACGTTATAATTTCTGTTTTGCTCCAGTGAATATCAGGGATCCTAAGGCAATGTATCATTTGTTGCGGTTTGCACAGCACTATAGCCAAAACCGTCCTGTTGGCATAGCAATGGGGCTACCAAAGTGTTCTGCCAGGAATGATGCAGAGCTTTTGGATCTTGAGACAAAGCATCAAGTATTATCTATGTATTTGTGGCTTTCACATCACTTCAGGGAGGAGACTTTTCCATATGTGCAGAAGGCTGAGGCAATGGCTGTTAGCATTGCTGATTTACTTGGTAAGTCACTTGCTAATGCTTGTTGGAAGCCTGAATCAAGATCACAAGGGAAATCCAAAAAATTGAAGGAAGAAGATGGCCAGGAGGAGCCACATTCGACTACTAAAGTTGTTTTTGAGAGGCCTAGATCACTTGTTAAAGCCTTTACTAAGTGAGTCCTTGCCCCACTTCTGGACTTTCATAACTGTTAAACGTGACCTATTTTTTTATTGAACTTTAATTTCACTCAAGCATGAAAAATATGTTTTCTATCGGTTTTCCTTCCCTTGTATAACTTTTCGCATAAGTCCAATCACTAAGGCTTCGTTGGGTTCTTCCTCTCCTTTAAAAGGTAGTTTTAGAAACTTCGGTTAAGGGAATGAAGTTTTCTAACGGAGAAGCAAATTTCTTCTCAAATCAGTAGAAAAATGAAGTTCCCTGTAAAGCATTTCTATATAAGTGTCCTATTCAAACAGCGACCAAAAAATAATTTCGCCGTTTCTAAATAGAAAAGAAAAAAAAAATGCCAAAAAAAAAACTAGGCCTAAATAGTTGCTTTTTCTGCTTATTGCGTGTTATCTATCGTAGGATTTTGCTGAGTGTAAACTTTTCCTTATTTTCATGATTTTCTTAACTAATGCTTGCATTATCCATTTGGGTGTCGTTGAGAAACCGTCTGAATAGAACATATTCTTAGAGCATTTTGGGCTTGATCGTTCACACAGCATACAATGACCTTATTTGCACGTCTTGTTGACTTTGTTCTTTGAACAAAAAAATGGTGAATTTTGTACCTGTTTTGGAAGCTATCCTCTCAAACCACAGTGTTTACTACAACTGGATTATTATTTTTCTTCCCATGTACACTCATGTCTATGGTTTTTTATATACAGAATAATGGAGATAATGTTGGGCGATACCTTGTTCAATTGATTAGCCAGACTGATAACCAAACATGTGAAAGTTGCCTCAGCCTTTATGTAGTTTTGATGGTGGGCCAACATACTTCCTGAAACCTATCTAGAATTGGAAATCCAAGCTTCTACCCAATGGACCTTCCTCTCAAAAAATCCAAATCCAGTAAATTTGTAGTTGTTTTGAGGGTGATGATTTCTACTTTAATTCTGAAGAATTTGGTAAGTATTGAGAATGATTTGATAGGACTATTGTGTTTTGGAAGTGAGGTTGGTCACCTTTATCCATAATTGACCAATATTTGAAATTTGAGTGTTATTGATGCAGAACATATATGAAAATACGATTTAAATATGGATGTTGCACGCTTGATGATTAAGAGCAACTTAACTAAAGCTTTAGGGTGACTTAGACAAAGAAATAAAATACAAAGAGCGGTAACCAAAAGCTTAGGCCAAGTCACTTGCGAAAAGTAAAAGCCACAAAATAATCAATTACTCTTGACGTTGCATACAAGATGAGTTTCAACAAGAAATCCCTAATCTAACAATAAGAGTAGTGCTATGAAGGATCTCTCACACAACTCCTAATAAATGCTAGGGTTTAGCGGGAAGATTTAACACAATTTTTCATGAATCAATTAGAGCTACGATTGAGAACGTTAAAGAATAGGAAGAGAGATCACCCAAATAAATATGCTGAACAAAGCCCCGGTGTGGTGTTTATGTGCTTGAGAGGAAGTAGACAACAACCTTTGATTCTTCTTGATGTCTTTGGACAGCAATCTGATTTTAAAACCAGCGGAACAGCAATAGGAGATGGTTACGACTGCTGGACAGCAACTTTGACACTTGGGAAATTCTGGACAGTAATCTCTAACACTTGTATAAACCTTGGGCAGCTGTTATAGGCTGCTGGAGACTTCTTGAACGGCAATTTCAGACCTCCCAGGGTGCCGCAGTTGGTAACGGCATGGACAATAAGATGAAAATCTGGAATTTCCTAGGCTATGTGCAGATTCTGCCCAGAAATCTGGACAGCACTCAAAAATCCAATAGAGGAAGAAAACCAAGAGGTGGAAGGCTTGGGGAAGACAGCTAGGGCTGAGGAGAGTTACGGGATGATTGAGGATTTAATTTCAGGGGGAAATTAATATGATAGCAGGAAAAAGGGGAAGGCCGACCATGCATGAGAAATTTAATGGGGATTTGAATTCTTTCCAATCATGGGTGTGATTAATTTGGAAAGAGATTTAAAGGGAAACCTCTAAATAAATTCAGATTTGGGATAATAGGAAAGTTCACAAATTGAATCCTTCTTAATTTAGGAAAGGATTCAAATTCAAATAAATTTGAATTTGGAGTTTGAAAACTTTCCAAATTTAAGAGGATCTAAATTAGGTAAGCTTCCAATTCTTTCCTTAGAGGAGTTTTGGGAGAGAAAAGGAAAGTATATGGGAAAGGGGCCAGCGGCATGAGGGGGCAAGGGAGAGTTTATGGAAACATTTAATGCCTTCCTGATTTAAGGAATTAAATTTGGGAAGAAATATCTCATCCTAATTTAATTTAAAAATTCGAATAGGAAGGGATTTGAAAACTTTCCTAAAATAGGATTTGTATTTTAGGTAATAATTTCAAATTCAAATAGATTTGAATTTGTAATTATATGAGTTACCTAAAATATGTAGGGCTAATTTATGAAAGTTGTAATGGCAATTGATGAGGGAGGGGAAAGCAAAGTGGTGGCCGGCGGTTTGGAATAGGGCTTGTGGGTTGAATGGTTTGGTGTTGGGGGTTGGTCGGCGACAAGATGGATTGTGGTTAAGGAATCCGACGGCTAGGAGGTTGGGGATTAAATGGGGATGTTGGTGGCTTGATGGGGGAAGGAGGAGGGGAAAGGAAAAAGAACGAAAGAAAGGTAAAGGAAGAAGAACCACGAACCCGGCGTCTCCAAGGTTGGTAGGTGATTCGATTTCCCTCGCTAGGGATTTCTCCAAAGCTCTCTCCTAGAACTCTCACAACTCTCCAAAGAACACATGTGCAGTAATTTTCTTATCATTTATTCATTAACCTCTCCAAAGGAAGAGGGTGGCTTTAAATAACCAAGTACATGAAAGGAAAATAACAGAGACACAATTGCCCCTAGGGCATACATAAGCAAAGCCCTCAAGTGAGGGTAGAAAGGGAAAATGAACAATAATAAATCAAATACATAAAATAGATCAAAATAAATAGGCACGATCGTAGCCGTAGATTTCTGATGTCCTCATCAGTTATGTTATGTGTGGAATCTGATTGTGTTGATCAATATGATTATTATGTTGTCTCGGACCTCAAAACTTATTGTGTATATTTGGGGGTGTTGGGGGTTTACCTACTGCTTGTGTTCGGGTGCTTTGCATCCAAAATTTATTTCCTTACAATGTCCGGGTGCTGCATACCTGGGGGCCCCGACGCTCTGTTCCTGAGCGCCCTAGCGCAGAACTACAGAGAGCAGAGCACCACAACAGCCTAGATATGCCACCGCAACAGTTCAAGATAGAGGCTTGAGCGTCGTAGCGCTTCAAACTGGGACCATAGCACTGTGAGATGGACAAGACATTTTTCTTTCTCGTTTTCTGAAGGGTTGCGTCCCTTGGAGTTATTTTACTTGGCTTTCTCTTGTATTTTCAATTAGAGCAAGAATGAGAATGGTGCATGCGAGAAGAGAAGCAAGGAGAGAGTGAGAGAGAAGAGATATATGCACTTATTTCTCTCAATTTTCATAGTGGATATCTTGGTGTGGTGTGGCTCCGTAGTTTTTTCCCTATTTTGAATTTTGTCACACTAAATCCTGGTGTCCTTTACTTTTTCGTTGCTTTTACTTTCTTGCTTGTTTTGTTATTGTCGTGTTTTACTCCTCATCTCCTCCAATATGTTATCTTCTATAGGTCAAGTGGAATTCAAAAATTCACTTAGAATAGTTCAAGGACACTCCCTAGTGTGATTTGGAGGTCTTGAAAATTTTTATGGATTTTTTTTGTGATTTTGTAGCGGATTGGAAATTGGTTATAGGAAAAGAACAACAAATAGAGAACTTGACTAGTGCTGGTTTGTTCTCCAGACATTTGATTATAACAACCCCAAATAAATTTAAGGTTATTGAAGTAGAGGATGTAGGCTACTGATCTGGAGATTTTGGTGAAGTTTTATAAGATTTGGGTTGCTCAAGGTTAATTGCTTTGCTAGAATGAATTTAGTTCAACAAAATAGAAGGACCTGGTTGGCCTTAGCAATGGGATTTTGCCTGCGATTTTGAGGGAGAAAAATGGATTTTTAATATTTTTATGATGGATTACAAACACAAGAACAAAACTACATAAAATTTCAATGCAATAAATAAAGTGCAGAGAAAATAAAACTCAACTCACCCAAGTAGAGGGTTCAAGAGGATTACCCATTCTTCTTGAGTTGGCCGGCCATCAAGCCACCAATTCTCCTTGGAAGTTCTCTCCAAAGCATGCTAAACCAAAAGCTCTTTCATTTGAGTAGTGGAATACAACTCACACAACTTCAGATGCACATCTCTTGGCGTTTAAATTCAAACAACGGGTGTAATATATGTGGAGGGAGGCTGGCCCCTTTGCCTGCTCTGACTTGTTCCTCATGTAACCACCTATAACCACTTCAAAGTCACATGTGCCCAATAGTATGGCTGGCCCCTAGGCCTAGATCATGACTTTGACTTAACACTTAAGTACTATAAAAGCAAATACATTATCATGAAGTCCACACAACACCTTATGACATAATAACATAAAAATATATATAAACACAACAAAAAATGATTTAAATCTTTATAAATCTTCATTATTTATTCCTGGCTTGAGCTTTAGATGTGATAATGGGTCCATCATGTGCTCTTGCTCTTTCTCGAGTGATAAGCCCACCTCTATGTGCCACATAATTTTAGGTATTCAAAATAAAATTATTCCTCCCAAACACAACACCTTATGACATAATAAACATAAAAATATATATAAACACTACACAAAATGATGTAAATCTTTATAAATCTTTATTATTTCTTCCTAGCTTGAGCTTTAGATGTGATAATGGATCCATCTTGTGCTATTGCTCTTGCTTGAGTGATAAGCCCACCTCTATGTGCCACATAATTTTAGGTATGCAAAATAAAATTCTTCCTCCCATATGTGAGGTGTTGGATGCTTAATTATCTTGAAGTGATCAGTAGGAGGAATCAACTTGTATCAAGTGG